ATTCATATTGATTCAAAAGGGAAGGCTGATATGCACCAGCTTCTCTCTTCCATTCCCCCAAATCAGGTTAAAATTTCTTCCTTTTTCCTAATACGCCAGGCTTCTAGGCTTTCTCTTTTATGAATCTGGATGATTTTCTTTTTGGAGAGAAAATCAAAGAAGGAAATCAAAATCCAAAGTGCTCCTGTAAAGCTTGAAAGCATAAAAGTCGTGGTTTCCCCCCCAGTATTGTTATTCTCGTGCTTTATTAAAACATCAGGGCCTACAGTGCCCTGGCATGTTCCTGTGACCGTACAGCAAAACTGCTGGCTCCGATCTCCAGAGGGCAAAAGATGGGGGGCAACATGAAATAGGTAGAGAGTTTTAGGGAGTCCATGTGGAGTTCATTGATATGGTAATAGATTGCCTGTGTGCTGGCTTTATAATCGTTGTAAAACTTGGACATAATTGAAAGATTATAAAGAGAGATTCAAAGCCAAATTATGAAATAGCCTCCTGTTCTGTGGCAGTGGTGCTGGGGGGGTGTGATTGGCCATGACTTTTTAAGGAGGTAAATGATTTTCAAATTAATTACATGGAAAAAATACATATTTATTCTACGAATACTAGGCGCTCTGACTTTTCAAGGTTAACCTGAGGAGTAACGGCAGTAATTGTTTTTGTGGTAATTATGAAATTTTTGTAGTAAAAGTGTATGTCAGTGAGCAAAACACTGCTGTGACATTCGCCATTATTTCTGTTGTCTCTTACACTAAATAAATGTAAATTACTGCTGTGCGTATTTAATTGACTGCTTGAATAGGTAACCTTACACTGAATTTGAAGTTATGTATGATTTACATAGAGTAATTCTCGCTTTAAAAATAGGGTATTAGGTGGAATGCTGGCATAGCCTTAATGATGAATGAAATGAAAATACTCATCCGTAAGTGAAGTTTGTCTTGCAATAAATAGATATTACAATTTAATAGATATTTTTTAAAAAGTTTTGAAAGCAAGATATTTATAAAGAGGATTTATGCAATTTATGTGTCTGTCAACTCATAATTTTAGTTTTGTTGACTTGCAATTTCATATGATGAAGATTTTTTTTTTAATTTAATTAATTTATTTAGAACTTGCTAGCCATAAAGAGGATAACAAAAGTTAATGCTATCCCACAGATTATATTTTATTGCCAAAAGGACAGCTCTTAATTTGATTTAAGAATTGTAAATTAATATATTTTATTTTAAGATATTAAAAATAAAACCTTACTTGCCAACATAAAACAACTAGTTTTGGTTAACTGTTTTATAACTATTGGTAAAGGGCGACTTATTATACAGCTTATTATCATAATGGGAATGGTGCTATGGAGATATATTGGGATGACTTCGGATGTCAATGAAGAGCTTAGGGGCTGAATGTTTCAAGGACCAGCTTGATGATGAGTTGCTTAAAAATATGTTGCTGGAAGGAAGTTGTCTGTGGTCCCTAATTGCATTTCAGTACCTAAACAGTTACTCTGAATTGAGTCATTATTTCTGTCAAAAGTTCTAATTCTTGCCCTGTGCACAGACCTGTACTGGTTGTGTGCTCCCAAATTTGCAGCCACTTCCATCCATAATCCACCAGGTGTGTCTGCCAATGCTTTATCTACTGACCGGAGAGGTGTATCACAGCCTTCCCTCCCCTCCAACTTGACTGCAGATTTATATCTGTATATGACTATAACTATATAAATTCTACACTGGAATTATAGCAAGTTTTCAGAATTATAGCAGTTTTTTGGTGTATTCTCTTAATAGAGTTTGTAATTGTAGAGAATAGCACTGAAAGCAAGCAATAGAATTTATATTCATACTTATTTAAGGTAGAACATTAGGCAATTATATATGATCTGTGCTCCTGACTGCTGTACGATACTTGATTAACGACAGTAAAGACTTAAGCCTCATTATTTCTACCTCTCTAAGACAGGCATTCACGTGTTACCTCAATTTCACACATAAGCAATATGTTTAGCATGACGGACAGAAAAACTGAAGCAGATGAAGGAACTGGAGGTGTTCCAAGTCTCGTGATCCTTGTCTAATCCACACTCAGTTAAGAAAGTATTATTATTTTAAGTAATTATTAGCTTACAAAATGAAAGAGTAGAAAGGAGTTAAAAAAAAAAAGGGAAAAAAAAAAGAAAAGAAAAAGTCTTGGGTATTCTTTATTGTTACTGTCTTCAAAAAGGTACAGTGAACATTACACTATATTGTGTCAATTCCTGATGCATTCTAGAGATTTTCTTTTTGATTTTTCTCTTCTCTTTCCACATACTAATTTAGCTACTTTTAATATTCATAAGGTAATTTTAACAAGTTTAACCTGTGCTCAGATTTTCTGTGCTCAGATGTTAAGCCTTAGAATGGAAGAATATGGGGGATTGGGAAAGAAAACCTGGAGGATCTCTCAAATCTTGTTGAGCAGAGTAACCTTTGGAATAGAAATGCATCTCTCATGGTGAAAAGGAATAGTCCTAAGAATCTGGACACACCTCTACATGGACACACTCATGATTGTGCAAATAATGCAAGGGAGACAAAAATAATACATTCTGGTTTCTGAATGTGATTTATATGAATCTGGGTGCCAGGCAGTAACATTAGAGGTTAGTATAGATTTATGTGATAAAAAAGGGTTATTATTTAACACATACATTTATTTTTTTTCCCCTTACTGAATCCTTTTTGGTTGTGTGTCAAAATGGCAGGGGAACAATATTTAGAGTTTAAAAAAAAAAAAAAAACTCTCACTTTTGTAAGACTTTATTAATAATCTCTTCAAAGGAGAAGCCATGAAGTTACAGCAGTGAGCGTGTGTTTTTTTTCTTTTTTTTCTTCCCTATTTGAATGTAGGAATAAGAACATGCTGCTAACCTAGAATAGGTGGTATTTTAAGTGCCTGCACTACTGAGGCAATGAAAGCCCGGTGAAGAAAGGCTCTGGCTGTGTTTTGCAGGGGATTCACTAGTCATATTGGGGCTGACAGTCATTCTGTGCCATGAAAATATACATGAAGATTATGGTAGTTCAAATGAGAGAAGAGTGGAGATAAGGTAAAAAGTATAGCATAGAATGGAAAGAGAAGGATCTGTGTATTGTATGCACTGGTGTAAAACATGCACACGCAGGTCCTACTGCAGCCAGCTCGTTTAGCCAAGAGAGACGAGGGAGAACGGATAGACTAGTGACCATATGACTTCTCCAGCACAATTAAGGAGAAAAAGAAAAAATAAAAAAGGTAGTTACTTGCTCCAAGTGTTCCTCCTCTCTCCCATCCAACTCCAGTGTTTTTACATAAGAACAAATATCAGAGATTATTTTGTCTAGTTGAAAGCTGGATTAAAAACAGTTTGGTTTGTCTTACTGCCTTTCATTTGTCTTCCAACTGGACAAATCTCCCCCCAAGTATTAACATTCTCAGTGTGGAGTGGGCATCCAGTGGTCAGTGAGAACTACAGGTGTCTTATGCAATTCAGTTTATATGTGACTTCTGCAGATGGAAACATCTTTTTTGTCATCTTTAATTGCTAGATGAGAAATCCTCAAATTCCAGCAGGCAAACCAGCGCGTGTTGTGTGTGGCAACTCGGCGTTCTTGGCTGTGACTGGTTTCCAAGAGCCGAGGGCTGCTGGCGCAGGCGCTGCTGGCAGTGAGGTGAGAGGCCGAAGAGGGAGTGATGAAGGCCAAGCCGGGCTCGCGGCTGAGCTCGTCTTGGTGTGCTGGGACTAGGGAAGCTTGGCTGAAACCTGTGATTATGGAGGTAGCTTCTCATGAGTGTCATTCTGACACAATTGGTACATCATATCTTCTGAAATCGCTTTAAAAAGAAATTCACTTTACCTGTAATGCATCTGATGGATGTATAAAACAGACTTATACAGTCTATAAATATGTAATTCTGTAAAAATATAGTCTATAAATAATAGCTATATAATTTAAGAAAATATCCTTTCAAAATAGCTTTTGGAAATGTATCTGTCTAACCTTCTGAAATACTTATTTTTCAGAAGTTGTAGTAATAGAGTTTCATGAACCATTGCCTTTTTCAGATGAATGCAGCAGTAATGACTCCTTAAAAATATTTTTAATAATAGGGGGAAGGACATGATCAGGAAGTTGGCATTGAATTTCTTTAAAAAAAAAAAAAAGTCTTAATTTAGGATGGAAGAGAAGCAAGATAAGTACCTTATTTTCCTGTATGTTTAGTTTCCTGTATGTGTATGTTTAGTGACTTTTTGAAACAGTGTGTGGACATAAGCGTTCCTCTGAGCACTAGGCTGGACCAGCTTGTATTGAGATGTCCATTTCTATGTAAATAATAGTTTGATTCTGTTGTGCTCCTTCTAAAGTGGAAAAAGGTAAGAAATAAATTTCTGGTAAAGGAAGGGAATTGTCGTATTCATAATCCCCTTCCTTTCTGGAGAATATAAAATGTGGGGAAACATTATTGGGTACTTGCATATGCTTTACCCTAAAGCCATTCTGTACAACTATAACAAAAAAGCACTATACATATATTTTGCTGTCCTTATTTTTGTTTATAAACTTGCATATATTTTCACAGTAAACTGTTTGATCGAACAGAAAAAGCTTGAGGGCGGGTGAAAAATCTCTTACCTCCTGCATAGCCAGTGTTTGTGTGTCAAGTCATCTGTCATGAAACTTTAGTCAGAAGAGTTTTATCATGCCTGAAATGTGTTTTGTTTTTGGTGTTGTTTTTATTTTACTCATTTGTACTCATGTAGTTGGGAGAAGAGGCACTGTCTAGAAAATGTAGTGATCAGGATACGTGTATGATGTAAAACTCTCTCGCCTCTCTTCTCTAAATTCAGCAGAGTAGGAATTTTAATAGCTGTCTTCTACTTCTCATGAATCACTTGGTTCCATGAAGGTGGATGTTTAAATTGAGGGCTTTGTGTACTGTAACAAAACATAAATTTCCGAAGTCTTTTGCTATTACAGTTCACAGAGGGAGTGATTGGTTTTGTCAGTATTTGGATTTATATTTCCCTTAACTTTCATAGCAGTTTTGATCTATTTCTATCTTGGCCATCACATGAATGACTGTGTTTCCTTTACTTTCACACTCTGTTTTTACCGTGGACGTAATATGCTGTGTAGATTCTTTAGCTAGCTGTGAAGCCAATGCTCTTAATTTAGGTAACCGTTTTTATTGTTTCCTTCAGGAAAAAGTAGGTAATTATATTTCCACAAGGTGGGTCTTTTTATGCAGTGGCATAGAGTTTTATGAAACATAGTAGTGAAATTGAATATTACTTCCAAGTACCTAATAAAAATGTTCACTTTTTCTTACAGGAGATGACCAAATGGAAAGAAAAGGTCAAATTTTAATCCTTTTAGTAGAACAAGCTCTCGGTTTCCAGGACTACAAGGCAGCTAGTATGCATTGCCAAGAGCTCATGGCCACAGGTGAAGTGAATAAATGGGGCTGATGTGATGATGATCATAGCCTGAGTCCACTGAGATTTTGCTGGCTGTAAAATAAGAAATTGTCCAACCTAAAGTAACAGTAAAGACTCAGCATGTGAGCTGTGGAACACAGGTGGTGTGAAATATGATGGCTCCTGTGTAAGTTGCAAATTAAAAAATATTCAAGCCCTTTAGCATCTGGAGAAATATTCTATTTGTACTCTTTTTGTGATGGCAGCTAATAGGAATGTGATCATTTTTTACATCTTCAGCTATCCATCAAAGACATTTAAAATATTTGTGATTATATGTACATATAAAACCTGTATACGTAGGGATATGAGTTGAAGTAAATGGCATGTCAGAATGCAAAAGAAGATTAAAGTTTTTCCTACAGGTTTCTTTTCAATCTTGAGACAGGAAAATCTGAGATGAGTTCAACTTTTCTGAAAATGTAAAATGATTTATTTATTTATTACAATGATTGGTGTGATGTGTTTAACAGTAAACTCTGAAGAAGCATGTTCTGATTTTCATCATGCAATAAGATACCCATCTCGTGTACCTAGTGTACCTACAGATGTCTGCTGGGCTGGTATCTACGTAATTATAATGGATCTGGGTGCTAAGTTGGTGTGAAGTTGAGTTATGTTTGTTTTATGGATTGTGCCTTTCTCAAGGAATGGCAGGAGTAGCCCATGCCCCGCTGTATCCAGTGAGAACTATGCCACGCTCTCCTGTCATTTGCAAAGCTTACCCACCTCAGCAGCACGTTTTGTGCTCCCTTGCAGGCTATTCCGGAAGCTGGGAAGTGTGCAGCCAGCTCGGTCAGTCAGAGCGCTACCAGGACTTGAGGATGCGTCAGGAGCTCATGGCCTTTGCTCTGACACACTGTCCACCAAGTGCCATAGAGGCCTTGCTGGGAGTGAGCAGCTCCTTGCAAACACAGGTAGGTGTTTCAAAATCTTTGCTTGCAAGTTCAGTGTTTCCCAATGCAATAGGGGGGACCTCATCGTTCGTTTTTAAATTTGTGCTCTTAATTTTTTCTTCTACTTTCTTCTCTTTCTCAATTTTCACAGTTCAATGTAACAAATAAGATCTCTTATAGCTACTTTGCTGTGGAATGAACTTGCATTTTAGTTCTTAAGCACATAATACCTCTAGTATCACCATTGTATATCTGATGAACATTTTTTTTTTGGTAAATGCATTTAATCACTTCTTTCTAATATGCTTTTCAAATTCTGTCAGGTTTTTATACCTTGTAATACAACTTCCATTAAGTGTGCTTTAAATGTTTATTCTTTTATGATCTCTACCTGTATTCTATTATTCTATATGGTAAATTTTCTTCCTTACTGACTTTGTCCATGTAATGATTCTAATGAAAATAGTGAAGATGTGGATATACATCCTCTTACTAAAATTGCAATGACTAATTTCTTAACCAGATCAGGTTTGTAGGCACCCAGTTGGTGACATATATGTGTGAGAAAGAGTGCCTGTGCCATTTGAAGATAAGTCTTGGCATGGTGACAGAAAACCTTTTGAAAGGTTTTACTTGAAGCGGTGCTGCAGAAATGTATGTTGTCAAAAGGTTACATTTTCTTTCAACTTAACTCTGGTTTGACCCATGTGCTATTACTTTCAGGAATTCATATTAATTAATATGAAAGCAGTCTGTGCAGCTGAATGGCTTCAGTAATAAAACGGTATCAGAATAAAATGCTACAAAGCACTTGAAATCACGTCTGGCTCCTGCAAGCCACTTATGAAAGACACTCAAATTGGAGAGGTAGAGGTACAATATGAGCTTCAGTATAAGTGGAAGCTTTGCAGAATTGAGACTTGTTTAGTATAGAAGTAAAAAAAGGAAGAAATCTTGTTTTTGCCTTTACGGCCTTGTACTTGGAATTAGTTTGAGGTCAAGCAAACTTTTGGCATTGTATAAACCCAAATTTGTTAGCCTTTCTGTCAATTCCGTGTCTATATTGGTGACTCATTCCTTTCAAGGACTTGCCTTTTGCTTAGCTCATATGCAGTGCAGCTGCCTAGGCAGGTTATTGTCTTGTGTCCTACTTCTTCAAAGGAAAAGATTCTCTCCACAAAGCTTGAGAATGAAATTTTCATTCAGGCCCCTCTTTTAGTGCAATATCGTTTTCAGCAAATGTGCGCTGTGATTAATTTGGTGCTGTCCAGCTGCCCCAGGAAGTTAAGATTTCCATTAAACGCCCCTGCCTAGTTCCTTTTTCCTCGTATCATGCAGTTCTGACTTTCATACCTTATTTAAATTCACTAGTTGCTTTCACTGTAAGCTATGCATTAGTTTTTCAGCTCTGTTCATCAGTGGCCCTGCATGTTTAGTTTAAACTCTTTTTTCTCTGAGAGGGGTAGATAGATACAAATAAATTTTTAATAGCCTCTGGTCAGCATGAACTTCTGATGAAATTCTCTCTGTATTATTTCTCGGATATAGAAATTCTGCTCATTCAACTATATATCTTGTTCTGTTATGGTTGCTTATATGAAGGTGTCTGTCCCCTCAGTAACACAGTTATAATTTAGGTTTTTCACTGATATTCTATTGCTTGGGTTATGCGACAGAGTACTCTTCATTCAAACAAAGTGAAAACAAGTCTTGCGTTGTATGAAAAATGCAAAAAAGGTCAAAAAAGGTGACTAAAATAGCAAGAGGGTCTGTCTGATATGTATGCAAGTATGTACAATAGCAAGAGGATATAAAAAGTATATATGTGTGTATTTCTTCTCCCTCCATCCCTCACAGTGCCTCCCACCCATTATTTTTTGTGAAAGTTTTAGCATTCCAAGTTATTGGCTTTCTGGTTACATCAGAGTTACAATTCTTATATTTCATTATTTCACTAACAGGGATTTTATTTACTCTGTCTTTACAGATTCTTTATCAGACTGTGAATTATCAGTACCTTCCTTCCGAAGGGGGTGAGAATATAAATATTTCAGGACCCTCATCCTTGATCAGTAAGGATATTGAGGTGAGCTTTAAAGATAGTCTTTGAAATAGTAATGGTTTTCTTTTGAATTGTGATGAAGGCTGGAATTTGAGGCTAAGCAATATTTGTCTATTTACCAATCAAAGTGAAAACAATCTAAGAACATGATTTGGTAGGTGGTTTTAAAGTGCAAGTTTTTACTTGTAGACTTCCATTTATATTTGCATATAGTCTGTTGTGATATTGGATTTTTTTTTCCCTCAGCAATCTTAGCACCTTAGTAAAAAATACAAACTGAGAGACAGGCGAGGAGGACAGTGCAATGAAACATAATATAAAAGATATGTTAATGTTTTGATGTTTCATCTGACCCTGTAACAAGGTTGAAAAAAGAGGGGAGAGCCCCCATTATTCTTAATTCTTTTCCTGATTATAATTTTTTTTAAAGCCTGCTTTGGGGGAATAAAAAAGAATGGAAACATATATAATTTTTCATATATAAGCAAAATAGAGAGGAAAATAAAATACACGGAAAATAACATTCAGGTCTGAAAATAATATCAAGTGTGAGCTAAACATATAACTTACTGGAATCATTTATATGAAATAGAGGTTTGTTTATGGGCCTGTGTACTTTGGGGAATGTTTGGAAATTGATAAATAAATGTCCCTGATAGATTATCAAATGAAGGTAAATTAAATTTTGGAGCTTTTTGGTAATGTGATGACTGATATGTACAGTTGCAGTATTCTTATATATATAACCAATTTGTCACATATCATCTTTCACATGCTGTAGTCCTGTTGGTGATGTGTATGTTGTGAGAGCAAAGTATGCATGCACATAAATTAATTCAGAAACATGAGCCAAGCATTAGTACTCATTAGAATTGAGTAAACTCACTGATAACTTCATTTCCAATTCAATTTGGATATCTGAAGCAATCTTAATTATGAAGTGGAATTTGCATTCAGAAAATTATCTACTTCGCTTGCCCCTTTCCTTCTCTCTGCCTCCCCCGCCCTTTCTTTTTGCTCCTCCTGAGTTTTAGCTTATTCTCTGGTATTAAAAGTAGGCAGGCAGATGACTTGGCAAGTTTATATGTTTAATTGAGGGTTTTTTATTATTATTTTGTTTTAATTTGGCTAATATGACTTTCTTGCCTGATTGTATTTCACGATGCAAGCCTTTGAAGAGAGTTCTATATATTTGTTATTCTATTTTTTTGTCTTCTTACAGTTACTTTAGACTGGGATTTACAACTTCTCTTATTTCTAGCAATGGATTGCAAAGAAACAGGAGGAAATGTTTTGAAATATACTTAGCCACTATATAATCCGAGCTATTTTATAAAAGCAATATATTGAATAGCTACAATTCTGACTTGATTGAATCTTGTGACTGCAATTCCAATAGCTGTACTTAATGTCTGATGCTTCACTTTTTCTTTTACAGATTCTTTTTTCCAGGAAAAAATATACTGAGGAGTTCTTTTCCTTTCTTTCTGATTTTTTTTTCATTTATATCTCAATTAAGTTGTACCATCCTTTTCTCAAGGCCTTAATAAATACTTTTCTTTCTCATTTTATCACCCTTTCCAACTGGTGCTCTGAACATAGTATTATTTTGACATGCCTAAGTCTTTTCTAGTATACATACCTTTTTATACTTGCCCTTCTTTGTTGCACTAAAACCACCTATTTGCAAATATATCAGTATTTCAAAGTTTGTGTGACCTAACTGTTCCTAGCTTTATGTGATATTGAGTGTCCCAGTTCTCACTATCAACGACTGGTTGTGCTTTTCAGACATTCCTCTCTCACTGTTGAGGAAAAACTCCCTATGAATCTCTGAAGTCATTTCATTACTCTTTTCAATTCCTCCTCATTTTTTTTTTCCCATAAAACTTTCCGAAGTCGCAATAGCAGCTGCCTGCTTGTGTTCCTCAGGTTGCACGCGTGCCTGCGAGCTTGTCCCTGTTATTCAATCAAGGAATTCCTTAGAAGAATTATCCCCTGGAAGTTACAGTGCTTCTACCATAACAGACTATTTTTCTCATTAAACGTCCTCCTTTCCCACCCTTTGTTCTCCTGATGGTATCTGTAATTGCCTCAGCAACTATTCTTGTGCTACTCCAACAAAACGTCTTCGTGAACAAATTAAGGTCTTGATTCATGAAAAGCATTTTGGAATATTATTGCTAACATTATTGGATTACTTAGCCACAAGATGCTGTGTTATGTATAAACACTAGAAACAATAACCACAGTAAATCTGGCTTTGTAAATGAGCTCTGACTCTGTTTAATCTGCTTAATACTTAAAAGATGCATTTCTTCTGTTGCAAGTAAAATCGTTATCTTTTACATATCTAAATGTGTAAATGTTGTTATTGTGCAGTGGCACATTAGCACAAGAGGAATTTGCAGTTTCAAGAATAGTGCCACTCTTCTTGTGAGGAATGGGGAGGATCAAAACTGTTTAATAGGAGAAAATACATGCTTTGAAGACATTTCTCCAAAAAAAAAAAATTAGATGAATGGTTTTCTTGCAGGTGTTGCTAAAAGAAAATAAAGTTCCTACTAACAAAACATTAATGTTAACTTTTGCTGTTGTTTCCCCCAAGTACTAGATCTGAGGAAAGACCAGATCTTTTTAAAATACATATAAGTTAGACTGATAGATAGATCAAGCATCTTTATCACTGCTGCTTAGAAATGAGTAGGGAATGTTGTATTTATGTAACATGCACTAGAAAATCTTCCATCTGGAACTTCAGGACAAAAATAATGCTTTTGTTGCCGTTTCAACTAATCTTTTGTCTTTTGCCTTTTGTCTTTTGTTTGTTGTTAATTAACTGAAATTCTGTTTTGTGGTTTATTAAATAGACTGTTGTTTAAACCTATAGCAACTCAATTAGAATTCCTCTCACAGAAAGAGAGAGCTATCGTTCCTGAAGGGATCGTGTTCTTGCAAGTTCATTTTCAGTGTCACTGAACTCTTGTTCTGAAAAACAGAACCCCTCAAAGTAGAGGTCTGTGGGCAAGAGGTGCTTAAATTCCTGTTGTTATCAGTGGGGTCATGATCCATGGTGCAGAGAGAATAATTCAGCTCATGAGCCATTAGGTGCTTGATTCAGATATCTGCCTGATTGTGGATATTTGGAGCACTTTGAGATATCCGGAGGTAGGCACCTGGCTTTTGGCTGCTGGCCAAGAGATTGTATGGCTTCTGTCATATATCATAGTGTTGTGCATATGTCTTGAAAGCCCCTGTGTATCTCAGTCAGCAGTGTCTGTGTTAAAGCAGCTGCATCAAATATCTTGTGTCTACTTTAAGGCTGGGTTACTTTCTAGGTTCCACTGACAATATAAGCCATAATAAGAGCGTATACACCTAATGATACCTAATCTTTAGTGTTTCAATCTTGTGCTGCATCATTTCTATTAGCTGCTCATTAAGAATCAGTTTTATTTTTGCAGGACTGGAGTTTTCCATTATTGAGATCCATTAGCTTTTATGTACATATGTATAATATATAAAAAGGAAAATAAAGCTCCAAGAAACAAAATACAAATGTAGAATATATGCGGAATTTCGTATAAATTTAGATAAATTTATTTTCGTGTCAGAGTACTAAAAAGAGAGAAAGAAGACTTAAGACTTGACTTCATGTCCTTTTAAGCAGTCTCTTTCCCCTAACGCTGTGAAATTACAAAACCTTTAGCTTTCCTTCATGAGGTCAGCATATGCGGATTTGTCTGAAAAACTCACATTTTAGTCTTATCTTTTGCGCCTTTCACAGCGCTGTTAATGCATAACATATAGTCCCAGTATGATTTCTGTGTGTTTTGACCCTTGTGTTTGACTACCTACCAATAAGGACCAAAAAACCTAATTGTTGCAGGTGTTTAATTTGTGTCTCATTTGTAGAGAAATAAGTGTTTTATTAGAACAGTTAAACAACTATGTCAAACTGTATCATTATAAAGTTTGGAAATATGAACAGCTGGTATCATGAGATTATAATTTAATAAGGGGCAAAATGTTCTACTGATCATACTACTCACTTCAGGTTGAAAACTCCCTTACTGCTTTTAAGTTCCCTTTGTCTGTTTTTACACAACAGCTGCTGCTTAAATCACTGATCATTAAAATAAGCTATTAACATGTTGTGCCTGAGTTCTGGTGTGCTTGGCTCTAGGTCGTTGACCTAATCAAAGCACGAGTCTAACGCTGGCTGTTGTGTGTTGGATGTGCTCACAGGACGAACCCGCCGTTTCCTCTAGGCCCTCTACTGATCTCTTGCACTGGACGACATCCAAGACCATGAAGGTGTTGTCGGACACCACGATGACCACGAGGGCCATGCTGCACGCCGTGAGCGACGGGCACTGGTGGAGGAGGTCCCTCACCTACCTGCGGCCGCTGCATGTAAGGGGGGCCGGAGGTGGCTGCAGGTCCCTGTGTCTTGCTAACGCGCTGCTGTGGGAGCAGGGCTCCTTCTGTGGTGTCTAACGACCTCAAATGGATGAACGCAGCCAGAGACATCAAGGGGTTGTCTGAGAGCAAAACTTGGCCAAAGAGTGGATCTATAAGCTGCTGCTTTTCTTGTTGTTCTTAATCGGTTTTCTCTTGCTTTTTTAGCCTGGTGATAGAAGGCATATTTGAAATTTGGCAGAACTTCAGAGCTTTGGGAATAAAATTCAGTGAAGTCTTCTCTTTAAATAGTGTTATTTCCAAATCTGTTCCTTTTCAGTTCCCTTTTCCTGCTTGCTTTTTCCATGTATTTTTCTCTAATGTTTATAATGTCAACTTCTCTCATACTACTTTTGAGGATAGTCCTTTTTCTTAGGAATATTTTCTTAGAAATATTCGACTGATTCAGTGTTGTTTTATGTTGGAAGATTCCCTTCTGAATTCAAGTGTTTTCATTTACAGTTGCTTCCCTTCCGTACAGCAATTATGGAATATAATTTTTTATATATATATAATTGCAAAGCTTTTTTCCCCTACAATTAGGTTTATCTACACTATTTTTTTCCCCCCACAACCACCTTAGGGTCAAGAATTCGGAGATGTATTGAAAAAGGGGTCTGGAGAAAATGCCACTGTGGAAAAGCAAGGCTGTCATCCATTTTATGAATCTCTCATTACCGAGCCATATGTTGCAGAAGTAAGTGTCTTTTGTAGAGGCCTGAATTTAGTTTTCGGGTTGAGTGAGATCTTACAATTAAGTAACAGTCCTGAATTTGATGGACTAAATAAGGATTTCAAGTCTCGTGCAATAATAAAAAAAATCTTAGAGAGGAAATTCAGTGTAGGGATTGAGGTTGATAATTTTATGTGATGCAGAAGAACCAAATAGAATGGCATGGTATAATGGGCATGTGTCATTTCGTTGTCTTATTTTCCTTCTAGTCTGAGGTAAGCTATGGCACTTACCAGAACAATTCTTTGGAAAGCTTTGCAGAAGTTCTACTGAGAACAGAGAAACTCGCAGAAACGAAGAGCGAAGGAAAAGACCTACTGCCCACTACGGAAGGTATGGATAGGCTTATATGCACTTACATATTAACTATATATTGGAGAGGATTTGTATGAAATTAAATACACAGAATTTGGCATAATATTCTGAATGCTTTGTACCAATTGCGTCATGGTTCAAGTTTTTATGTTGTTAGGGAGTCTTGGTAGAAATAGCTGTAGAGTTGTCATGAAAAGGAATATTCTTTAAAAGGAATCACTCCATAAAACCTATAGAAATTTAAAGTCTTCAAGTTGACTTCATATGAGCAAGTACTGTCATTTGGAGGATGATGAAGATGTGGAAATAAGGGAGAAACAACTTTAAGGAGTTTTTTGTTTTATTTTTATTGAATGTTGCCATATTTAGAGGTAATTAAATAGAAATTTTTAACTCACTGTTAATCTTACATCTGTGCATTAATTTGTTCAGATCTTGAGACACTTTATACAACAATTTTTAAAATCCATAAGACACTTTAGCTTTTACAGATTATACTTAATTATTTGTTAAAAATGAAACTTTTTTAAAGAAAACCCTCTACAATTGTTTGTCTTTACTTTTATCTGTCTCCTGCTGATTTAATAAATGAACTGTTTAAATATTTACGTGCAGTTAGTGCCTTTTGAAGGAAGATATCTGTACGTTTTACTCCAGTGGGAATTCTGCTGTGAAAAATGAGAACATTAAATCTCTTTTAATGTTGGAAAAAGCTTAAAGTGAGACTTTTTTCAAAAGCCATGCACTTTTATTTCAACTTTTCAATGGAAATCCACATATTTTATTTAGGAGCACGCAGTTCACTAGTTTTGGATGTGCAGTATTTCTACAGATCACTAATAGCCTCGGTGTTGTGTGTGTGCTCTGTGTCTACAGGACATACACACATACGTGCATACAAACAAATATATTTTTAATGTAGTACAGACTATTTTTTGTTCCTCCTAAGGGATGACAGTGGAAGCAGTTATTACTCTCCTGTTGAGTGAATGCTTGGAAAAAAATTGGGATGCTGTTGTGTCGATCTTGGTAAAAGAATGTGAACCAAACCGTGTTGTTGTTTGGCTTTGTTTTGGTGTTATGTTGCCTGTAATGATTATTGTCTGAAGAATGAAGATAAATGTTTGCTACTTGGGCAATTGTCACGTTAGAGATGATAGAGAACCCCCACTTAATGATTTTATAACACTAATTGTTAATTTTCCAGAGAAAGGGAGAAAAGGAAATTTTTACAGATTCCTTGCTTCCTTTTCCCGATTCTCTTACAATGCTGATGGATGGTTGTTAGAATGTATAAAAGTAACTTAGTAGGTTTTCAAAGCAGAAAATACAAATTTTGCAAACCTCTTCATAAAGATTTTAATATTAGATATTTTCAGAGCCCTGTTATCTTTCCTTGGACAGCATCCAGGGCATTTTCAATGTAGCAGAAACAAGCTGTCACCAGCAGGGAGAAAAAAAAAAAAAAAAAAAGATAAAAGCTATTTGAAGCAAAGATTCTGATGGACAGGTCTGTATTTGCAGTAACTGTGTTGCTATCTAGACAATCTCTGTGATGACTTTCCACATAAAAGTTTTCTTCTTGTATCTGGCTGAGGGCCAGCATTTAAATCCACTTCAGTCTGATGGCAATTTAATGATAATCTGAAAATTATAGGTGATCATTCAAACCTCTTACAATGCATCCTTCAGAACAAAGAATTCTCTGTGGGTTTGTGTGTGTCTAAATTATGCTGGTCTCTTGCCAGCCTGCCCTCAGGAGTAATTTGTGTGCGAGGGGAATATTGGTATATGAGATTTCTTTAAAATAAGCAAAGAGCTCCTGGAAAAGGACTTTTGCTGATTAGAAATAATAAGATAAAAATACACCAAATAACTGAAAGTATCTGTTTATTTACATATTTTGCTAGCATGCTTGCAATTCCCTGTGTTAATTCTGGTCCGCGTTTTCTACAAATTACGGAGGGTTTCCTAGAACTAACAACATTCCCCAACACCCAGTCTTCAGAGTATCTTGACGATCACTATTCTGTAATTGTTGGATCTTTAATAGAAACCACCGTGAAATTTTACTTTAATTCAGAAGAAAAGGCTGTGTAAAGCAGCATGTTACCTACTGAGAGACCGTGGGTGCTCACGTTGTCTGTGTGTTCATTCCTCTGTTGGCAGCTCAGCAGTTGTTCATTCCGTCTTGGAATGCATGGTGCCCAACAGAAACATCACATGGTTATGGAGGTGAAACAGATAATTTTGAGGACAGTTTTACCAGAAGTAAATCTTTTTATAGTCAAAGTCATTATTCTTTATTGATGTATTCATTTCTCCTGTGTGGATGTTTCTGACTGCAATAGCTGGTAGGAATCTTGTTGGGAGGTTGTTGTTTGGAGTGGGTTTTTTTGCTTGTTTTGTTTGCTCAGCTTTTGTCCAGTTTCAATTGAAATGTAAATGACCTGAGCTAGCTGATCTGGCTTTAAGCATTAAATTCGCATTTTTTGCCAGATAGGTGCTTTTATTTTTCTTTTTAAATTCCTGTTTGCCTTATATTCTTTTTACCTCTATGTTGTTACTAAAGGAACCCATCTAGTCTGTGACACCTTTCCATTGACATTGAATTAGGTCATCTTAACTACAGGCCATTGGTACTTCCATTGGTTTGACAACATGGTCTGGATATAGGTGTCCGGGATAGAGTTAAAGGACTTTTGGTTGCAGCTTTGCAATGTGTGTGAGGCAAATTAGCTGGTTTATGTCCCTAATCATGCTGAGAAATCCTGTGCATGTTTTGTTTTGTTCCACTGACCTTGTTTATTCATGTGACACTTCTTATGGCATGTTGTATTCAGGGGCAAGCAAATTAGAGCTGAACTTTGGCAGAGAGAAGACACTTTGTCCCATTCCTCTCAGTGATATCTTACAGTGTTGTCTTGATTTTTACAAACAACCAATTTGGGTGATAAATCGGTGCAGATGATGGCTTTGTTTAGCATCTGTTACTGCAGTATCTCATTCTTGTTTGGTTAATGCATAAAACCCTTTGCCTGGAAGTCAAGGTAAAGCTGTGCTGCAGTTTAATTACATATTATCTACTTTGGGATTGCACTGATTAGTGTTTAATTAAGTTTGTATAGAGTGCTTCAAGCTAGTGTCCAATAAAATATGGTTAAACTGAAAATATTTCAGTTGCTAACTGTCAAGGCTAGATGGGTCAGTAAATAAAGTTTTATTTCCCCTTCTTATGTCTTGCAGTTCTACTACAGCTGGCAAGTGATGCTTTACCAAATGATACAGCCTTGTCTCTTGCCTATCTGCTTGCACTGCCACAGGTATGTTCTTTTGATGGTGTTTTTATTACTGTATTTTTCTAGGAAAGACAATTCTTGGGCTTACTGCAAGAAAATATAATTTCTTTAGGGTTTTAAATTTATATCCTTGAATTCAGTTTAATATTTATATATATGGGCTGAGCATTTAACAGAACTTCCTAACAAACGTTGTTGAATTGGGTTATGAGCATAGCACTGCTAAGAACACAGGTTTTCTTAGTTTACAGTAGGAATTCACTATCTGACTGACAATTCTGATGTAATGCAACAGCTTTGTGGTAGAGAAAACAGAGCTCTTGTTTGAAAATCATTTGGAGAAGGTGGCTGGAGCAAGGGGAAGAAAGTACCATAATTATCTTTGCCTGCTGGTGGGTTTTACTTCCTGATTTATTTCTGTAAAGTAGAAAAGGAAAACATGTAGAATCAGAGCTATTTCTAAATCACAGCAAGTAGCATTTAGAAAGTTTGTGCACTTAATGTTATATGCTTGCTAATTTTTTCATCTAAATAAATGCTGTCTTTCTCCTAGGTGGTAGATGCCAACAAGTGCTTTGAAAAGCAATTGCATTCTGCTTTATCTCTCCAGCTGGCAAGTTATTACTACAGCCTGCACATCTATGCTCGTTTGGCACCATGTTTCAAGGACAAATGCCATCCCCTCTACAGGGTTAGTGCTCTTTCATTTTAAAACCATATTCATTAATGTGCGGCATTAAAGCTTTTCTAAAAAGCCAGTGTGTGAGTTAAGCCTGTTAAGGAGCTGATCTGACTTATACTGTGAACAGCCTGTTAGGCTATGCATAATTATTCCTCCACAATGCTGCAAACAGACAGGTACTTAACAATTTCTGGAAGAGGATATCGTGTGCTCTTGATGTGCAATATCAAGCATCCTAGTAAGCGGCATTATCCATCTTCAAAGACGCTTATAAATATCAAACAAATAACGAGCATAACCTTTGCTGTCATCTTGTGATATTCAGACACTACAGCACTTTCTCAGATTAGTCAAATGTCCATTTAAGCAAGAGCTGTGCTGTTTGGAAAGTTTCCGTTACTTCCTTTGTTGAAAGGAAAAGTGCGTTTTATATTTTAGATGACACACTGTTTTTAAAATTCATTTGTGTTGATTAACTTGTTGGTATCCTTTGACAAGTGTCTTTTTGTTTCTTCAAAGTTATACAACTTTACTTCTTATTTGTCACCTGTGGTCAAGACGGTTATGCCATCAGTAAATGCTGCATTGCATCTTAACGGGTGACATCCAAAAGGTTAATAAGGCCCTAGTTGTCATTCCTACTAAGAAAATGAGTGCAGACTCAGTTGCTGAACATTCTTCCCTTCTTTGGAGTCTCGGAAAGACTCCAAGAGAGCCTTTCTGAATTTACACCAGCTCTTTGCTTCTGTAGGGAACCTCTCTGTCCTGTACAGTTTTCCGCCTAGCATTCTGTGTTATAGCTAAAAGAGCATTCTGGTCACAGGTTGTCTGAAAAGAGGCAATTTCCACTAGTCATGAAAGAGGAGGACATTTTTTTTTTCCATTTTCCAAGTAACTTCTGAGTTGCAGAATTTTGATACTAGCCCATTTTTGAAATTGGGGATCTTTTTGTAGACATTTGCATTCTGTTGCCTCCTGTTCAAAAGATAAATCAAAACTTAGACCATGACTGAATTTGTGGAGCTTGTAAAACATGCTGGTTGCAAGGAACTTATTTGTATTCATAAAATATCATTCTTTTCAGCCTAAGTTTACCTCCCATGAGACACCTTTGATGAGAAAAGATGTTTTTTATTATTTTGGCTTCAATCTTATGAGTGAAGATGAAGGACAGCCTTATTTTCTGAAAGAAACTTTGTAGTCTTTTAAATGTCATAGGAATATAGACAGATATGTTATAGCTTCAGCTATTTCTACTCAGATTGCCATTTAGCAATCAAAGACTTATCAACAGCAGCACATAGTTCATCTCTTACCAATATGATTTTTGTCTCAATCTTTTGTTCCATCTTGATAAAATACCACATATGATATAAAATAAGCAGTGGAATCTAATCTGTTTTCTGAAAAGAATATGTGCTGTGATTAGGAGTACTGCTTTTAAACGTTATCTTTCGGAAACAACTGAGAAGAACCTGAGTAATAGGACAAACAGAAACAAAACCAAAAAAAAATAAAAGGAGGCCTCAATACTCAGGGATACAGGAGAAGCCATTTTGTTGTTACCGATGCCAAGGGTATTCAGTGAGGGACTGTGGCTGAAGAGGAAAGAAGAAACAGAGGAGAATAAAGATAGCAGACTTAAATGGTGGATTTATGCTGTGGAACAGTGGTGTGAGGAGACTCTCAGTACACTTAAAGAAACTAAGGGAGGAGCATCCATACGGAGAAATGGAGGAATCCAAGGATTAGTCAGATATTTAACAAATGACTGAATAGGCAAAGACCTGGCTTGTTGTGATAACAAATTGAAGTTATATGCTCAATCACCACACAGCCCAATCTGCTTTGTTTTCTTTGTGCTGCAAGATTTTCTGTGTTGTGAGGAGAAGTGTGTTTCTGGAAATCTTTCTACTCAGGCTAGTTGCTCCTTACAGAAAAAAAAAAAGAAAAAAGTTACATTTTGTTATTGTGGCAACTTTCTGGAAAGGTTTTTGGCAAAATGGGTGCACATTGCACCCTGGAATCCTGGATGTGATCTAGGACTCTCAGAGTATGGGAATGCAAAGTACCTGCTGCACGGCTGAGCAAGGATTTACTTGGTTATTTTATTTCTGTTAGCAGCTTATCTCTTCACTTGTCCTATCCTGCTGATCTGATAAGTGACTAGAACTCAGATATCTGGGGGGTTGTTTCCTTTAAAAAGGAGTGGGGAAGTTTAATTACCCTGAGGTTAATTAGTACGTTATGTTCCTGTCTTCATGCTAATAATCTAGTGCTGAAGTGCTTCTGTAGTTTTGGAAAAGAGTATTTTACTGACCTTAGCTGGGAGACCAGGTTTATTCTTGGTGCCTCAAGCAGTGCTTCCAACAAATACTGCTAAATCACAGGAAGGGATGGAGAATCTTGCCATTAATAATGCATGAGGGAAGAAGCTATTAGCAGAAATTCTTAAGCTGTTTTTTTATTATTATTATTATTCCATTACCTATTTTCTTCTTTCAAGAAAACAACAAAACAGTGTTTGATTGTTGTCCTTCTCTGGGCTGCAACTCCAGTATATTGAAATAGGACTCGCAATGATTCTGTTTTAGGATGCTTTGGGTAATGCCAAGAGTTGCTAAGGAAGCTGGAAATTCTGTTCCACAGAATTAGCAATTAACTTGTCTGAAATGGGGCACCTTTACAGTGAACTTGTGCTTATAAACTTTTTTATTTTTTAGTTTATTTTATATTTTTTTGCTACTACAGTTCCAACTGTATAAGAGAGAAAACTAGGGCTTTTGAATCGGTCTGTCCTCACCTCACATAAATCACAGAATAAGAGCACGGTTTTACCAAGTAGCTTTTTCTTCCCGTTTTGCTTTTGCTTTTTCTCCGTTTATATCACAAGTGTGGTGAATTTTATACACACTGCTGTATCACATTCTTTTTTTTTTTCTCCTGTTATTTTCAAGCTCTTGTTTCTGATAATTCACATCTTCCTCGGCAGAAGGACACTGAGGGTTTTTATACTTGCCTTCACCTTCTAAGTGCAGTTGCATTAAGTCAGAGAAGCGTATCTATGGTCCTTATCCTATAGACTTAGGGGATACTTAGGAGGACTTAGGGTATTGAAATAAGGGCTGAGATTTTGGACTGGCATAGGTATTGTGTAAGGACGGGGGTAGGTCTTATGAGCTGCCATATGTATCGCCAATATTGGATGAGGTCTAAAACATTTTTATTACATGACACTGTAGACCAGATAGCAGATAACCTCATTTTGTTGTACAGACTTATCTCATCAGTAATCTAATACTGGCAAATGACTAAATGTTGGTTTGTGCTTATTAATAATGTCCTTCCTCATTCTTAACCTGTGAGCATAGCTCAATATATATTTTAAATTTCAATTTGGATTTGTATACATGACGTTTTACTGGAGTCTATTAACATGCATTCATACACAAAATTGAGAAACTACATCAGATAGTCCTGGCATTGAGCTCTTAGTGCTAGCCATGGAGTTTAGGGACAAGGTCTGTTGTAAATGAGAAGTGGGGAGTGCTCTGTGGTGTTGGCTTATGGCCGATTTGAAGTATGATCTTTGCTGTTATTACTAATTTGGGTTCGATTACTACTCTGATTCTAGCACTTAATTCTTCTTTGCCCTTTCTGTTCAGTTAGTGATGCTGAAAACTAGCAGATTCCCTTTGGCAGTGTGACTTCTCCCCTTCACTGTTTGGATCTTCTGTTTTGTGCTCTGCATTAAATTCAAGTTTATTTTCTGGGCTTTGGGTTGTCCTTGCCTTCATATTACATTAAAATTACTTTTTTCTTATTTGCTGAAAACTACTTTGCATCTAACCCTGTTTCTTGTTTTAGGGCAGTCTGAGCTTCATTTTCTTTTCATGCTTCAGTTTACGCCTAACACTGCTTGCACAGGATCAGATGCTATTATCCATTAACCATGAGCTATGTGCATCTTTTGTTCAGTACATGCTCCTTTTTCTGGTTCTGTGCACATCTAATGGTCCTGAAGGCAGAATGTGGCGTGAGGTGAGCGCCTGCCTCCCAGTTGCCATTCCTGTGGTTGTTTGAAATGTTCAGTGTTGCCCCTTATCTTGCTGGCTCACCTAGTTTCACTTTATTCTTCCTTGAGAACTCTGGGGCAGTACACAGATGGTCATGATGGCACATGAACCCACAAACTATCCAATTAGTCTGGCACTTTCCATCCAACGTGACTGTTTTTCCTCCCTTCCATATCTTCAGCACTGGGGCTGACCTGGGGAATTCATAGAGTTCTTCTACTATAGACTTATCCTACTATAGACTTATGCTTTGTTTTCTTTTTGAATTATGATTTCTGTCTTGAACGAAAAAATTTACGGCTGAGATTTTTCTCCCAAAGAAATTGTAAAGTTCTTGAAGAGACCTCAAATTAAATAGAATTCTGCACCATGACTATTTCAGTCTACTAGTATCTCCTTTCACTTATTGATCCCCAGATTTCCTTAATGAAAAGGCAAAGCGTAACAATAGAGAAGAACATTTTTTGGAAATATACACTCTCCACTTCATATTTCAACAAGCTGTTTTCGTATACTGGTTACGTGAAGATTGTGTTACCTACTAGAACCATTGAACTATACTATTGAACACTATGCTCTTACCACTTGTTCTCATTGGCATATTGCCATATACATCAAATATGGATGTGTATTAAGTATAGATTTTAACTCTACTACAGTTAGTGACCCGGATTTGAACTTTCAATGGGATATGATCCAGGACAATTTTCAAGTAGGAAAGAACAAAAATTTCTGGATTTTATGCAGCTGATAGGCACTTGTAAATTATTTTATAATTCCTGAAGAACGTCAATGTAAGATGCTGCCTTTTTGCTTTTTATGCTTTATAAAATCTTCAAGGCACTTTTATGCTTCTGCTAGATTTTTTTTTTGGACTTCTCATCATGAAGGTACATGTTAAATAGTTTAGAAGCTGTAATGACTTCACTATAGAGTTACTGTAGGTAGTGTTAGGTAGTGTTTGCTGCTGTGTGCTGTTTTTTTGTTGTTGTTTTTTTTTTTTTTACTGCTAGCTAGTATTAGCAAGTTTTTATAGTCTTCAGTTTAAAACAGTAAGACTTTTAAGTATTGGCAATACTTAATACTGTCAGTACTGGCATATTCAAAGCTATAATGATTTTCTTGTTATTTTCATGTTTGTTAGAACTAGACATCATGTTTAATTGAACTGGATATCTGATTGATGTAGAATTATTCATGTTTCATTCAAAGATGTATTTTCAGAAAATTGAATTATAAAATAATGAATAGTTAAAATTATGAAATGCAAGTTCTACATTTGACACAGCTGGATGCTGATCACATTTTAATATTTTTCTGTTTTCTCATTGAGCTTGTGTTGAGTGCCTAATGAACAGTATGTTAGGCAAGATCGTTGTTATTTGAGAAAGCTTTATCAGATGATAAACATTTGATGAATGTAAAAGAAAAAACTATATGATTCCTGTAGTTGCTTTTTGCAAGCAGCTGTAATGTGGAACAGATTCAAAACGTAGAAAGTCTTACTGTGGAATTATGGAATATAAGCTTATGCTTGAAATAAATTGTAGAATTTTCCTAAGCTATTATTTGAGTGTGATAGATACTGTGCAGATCATGAATATCATGGAGAAGAAAAGAGGACAATGCCTATTTAAAGATTTCTGGTGATAAAGAATCCAACACAAGCCTTTGAAAATGACTGTAATAAAGAAAACTTATTATAAAGTTATGTTCTATCTTTAGCCTGAATGTACACAACTTAATTTATCAGCTGTCAGACAATCATACTTTTATCTGCTGCATTGAAGAGTGTAGGTGTTAAACTTTATAGCCTCATACATGTTAACAGGGTATAATCAAATTACTGTTTAATTCCATCATTAATAAGCTCAATAGAATCAGATTATGAAGGTATTATCCATTACAAGTTACGTTTCTTAAATCCTTTAAATCATTTTTACTGTACTTTTCAGAATCATCCCTTTTTTAAGATGCTTCAGGGCTTAGAGAAAAAAAAAAAGAAGAATCCAGAACAGCAGAAACAATTACCTTGATAACAAACATAAACATATTTTTTTCGCTCCTCATTCCTCATGTCCATCACACTGATCCTTTTAGCCGTGTAGTTCTTCTACTCTTTTCTCTTCATTTCTCCATAACATTTTATCATTATTATTATTTATTGTGATACTACTGTATCATAAAGTTGACCTGTCTCAAGATTTTCTGTATCTTTTGCTGTTTCTTTTATATTGTATATAAGTATATGTGTATTTAAGTATAAAACATATATATATACACACACACTGTTATATATGTTTTATATTATTTTATTATGTCCTGATTATGAAACAAGAGGCTCAAATAAGAAAAACAATGAAACAATACTGGCCAGTCTGATACGGAGTGGTTTGCCAGAACTGCAGACTAGTCATTGTATCTTTGCAGGCATTATCTGGCAAAAGCATTAAAAACAATATGATGAAGTTGATTAGATAGTCTTAAGTTTTTTTTTTTTTTTTTTAAGCATCAATGCAATGATTTTGTTGGGGGAAATCTAATCAATAGGGAATGAGTGTTGGTGTCGTTGATGGATGTCAAATGAGAGGATGACGTTTCGGTGGACTGTTGTGGCTGGAAGTAATGTTTTAAAAGACAAAAATTCAAATTAGAAATTAATGATTGACACACTGAAGAAAAGGTTTGTCAAAAAAAAGTTGAAAAAATAGCTGTCAGTATTATATTTGAAGTTATTGTGAATACTTGAGTTACTTGTTCTGCCTCTCTGTAAAATATTATTTGCTAATCAAGAAAAGGTTTAAAATAAAGTTATCTTCTCATCTTTAGAAGACATTTCTCAAGGAAGAGTTCAGGGATCCCTGTTTGAAATTATTTTCAAGATTGCCCTTTACTATATATGCATTACAGTGTGATTTTACACTGTACAGTGTGGAACATTTTAGAATGTCAAAATGCTGCTCTTTACGGCTAAAACATTTTAAAGAAAGAATAATATGGGGTGAATTTTTTTTTTCTTTTGATTTGTTCTTCTCAGTGTGATACAGGTGTGTACGTGGATAGGGGATGACATTTTAGAACAAAAAATTGAGGCCATGTATTATTGGTTTTCCTGAAGCATCTCTAAAAGCCAAACAAGAGAGCCATCCTCAAAGTGCATCAGGGAAGGATACAGTCATACTTTGGTTCCTATACCATGTGACTCAGGAACTTCATAAGTCACAAGTTCTACCTTGTCATAAATAATCTTTAATGAATCACAGTCAAATCTAAATTCAGACTCAAACTTTATGGACATCTGTGGAAAACTAAAAGTGGTCAAGACTGACTTAAGTCAAAAATTATGAGAAGGAGCAGTTGTCCCCATAAGCATCAGGGCAGTTTAACCACAGAGCTGGGCATGCATCCCAAGAGTGGCTCTAGGTAAAAGAATCCTGTTTTAATGCTAATACCTAACAGATTCTTAGGGTTCCATGTGTTATCACTTACTCCGAATAACAGTAATTCAGAATGAGCAGCAAGTAATGAGGCATGCCTCAAGGTTCAAACTTTTGGTCTGTGTTGCCCTGTAATTAATATTCATATCATCTTATAATTCAGCGTAGTCATTCTGTTAATAAAAGTGTATTTGTCCAGTTCACTCAACAAAATTCCAGAGATCACAACAGTTACATAGCAGTTACATGAGCACAATGAAGTTAAGTAAATTTGCCTGAGTTTTGCAGCATATAGAATGATACTTTAATATTCTGAAAGGACAGATTTCGAAGTTATAGAGAATACCTCTTACATAAAATTTTGGCTTCCGTTGTACTTGAAACATGCCAAAAAGAAATACTGCGATTCTGAGTCTCAGAGGAGTTAGAGTGGTAAATTTATTACAGAAATTAGATTCTTTTTTTTTTTTTTTTTAATCTGTTTTCAATTAACTTCCCAGGCTGATCCCAAAGAGCTGATTAAGATGGTCACAAAGCATGTTACTCAGTACGGCTGTGCGGACTGGCCTGAAGACGTAGCAGCCCTGATAAATCAGCTGCATTACTACAATGAGCGGCTGCTGGATTTCACCCAGGCCCAGGTCCTCCAAGGCCTTGGCAAAGGAGTGGATGTGCAGAGGTTTACAGCAGATGGCCAGTACAAGAGAGAAACTATACTAGGACTGGCAGAGTAAGTAACATCCATTCGGTTAATGGTTTTAATTTGTAAATGAAGCTACTTGAAGCAGGGAGGTCAATTTTCAGTCGTCCTTTCAAAGGGTTGGGAAGTTACCGCTGGCTTTGGTTATTTACAGTGGAATACTCTTCTGCATAAGGATGTTTTTATTCAACTACACCAGGTAAGTAAAATGTTGCTCGAAAAAATGGATTGGTAATATTTAATGGAAAACTTGCTTCTTCATTAATTGTTCATCAGGAATGAGCGGAATAAGAGCATAGGTGGAGATCTGATCTTTCTCGTCTTGTCTAATTCTCCCCTTGAGGTCTATTAAAATAAACAACAGAACTTATGTAATAACTATAGCACACCCCCATTCCCCTTCCCAAAGAAAAAAAACCCTTCAGTACTGAATGTAAATGATAAATTAACTGTATTCTTAGTAATTTAGTGAAAGCTGTTCTATATTACTTTTTTGCCGTAATTACCCAGAATTACTGAAGCTTTTGCATGCTGTTCTAAGCTTTAGAATGCTTTTTTCCCCTCATTTTTAGGTTATCAAGAATAGAAAACAAGAATTCTGTATGCTAGCAATTCCTTTTCATTTTTAAAATGCTTTATTAATACCAACATGCAGATACTAAAAACTGAACACAAGTTATGAACGTAAGATATGAGCATACTTGAAAATGCCATGTAATTTGAAGATGATCACATCTGATTAGCAGCCTGGATTGATTAGGAAGAGCCTGTGCAACACATACAAGACTTGTATCATATTTTATAACTAATTTTGGTCTGTCTCGTGCATGAAGATTTCAGGAGAATATGTAGATATTTACAATTTTTTTTATCCATGTAGTTGTTGTGGCTACAGCTTCAATAGGCAATGTTTAGAAATGATATGAAATGCAGAATAAAGAATAGTATTTTAAGCTGATATTTTCAGTGCTGTTGCTTTGCATTTATAAAAGTAATTAAAGTCTTAATAGTCTTATGATGGTTTGATTGTTTGATAAGCTTTGCTACCGCGTTCACTAAAATAGCCTAAAAGCGTGTGCTAATTTTTCCAGTGGAATTCTCTGTTATATCTTTTTATTTACTGAGCACAGAGTATATCGCTTGTGTGGTTCTAGTTGATGGACATGTGTTGGTGACTATTTGCAGTATGTTTGATGCAAATACTTATTTTGGATGCAGCCAACTTACTTGCTTCCTATTCTTAGAATGCTGTAGATAGTATTTTGTTCGTTTGTTTTTCTTATAAACAAAATAAATCAGGAGAGAATATTTCCCACAGAAACTGAAACATGATATAGAAGAGATAGAAAAAATAAATAAATAAATAAAGATAGCAAGTTTCACAATGTGTATTCGAGTAGTAGCTCCACGTAAGGCAGTTGCAAAGATTCAATTAATTGTTCATCTCACAACTTTCTTGCTTTAATCTTCTCAGTTGACTCCTAATCTGCATTTTCCAGCGAAAACAACTTGCAAGTTTAATATAATTATGTTTTTTTTTTTTGTATATTTTTGCTTTATCATTAACTGCCTATGTTTTGGATCTTTTACTAAGTGCCTTTGGCAGGAACAATAATACCTGGAAGAGATTATATCTTATTTACGAAGAAGCTTTTTACTAGGATTTAGCGAGCAATTTGCTGAACTACTTAACAAAACAATGTCAGTTTTATCTTCCGTATTTTGGTGTAGTCTCATGAGAGCTTATGACTTATTTATCAAACATTTAAAGATCTAGGTGCTTTGCAGACTTAACCAGGGGTAGTTTTCAAGCACTTTGACTTATTTGAGCAATGTAAAGGTAGAACGTATCTGGGAGGGATATAAATGAAAATGGAAATCCTGGTCAACTATGACATATAAGCTTTTTAAATGAATAACTTGAAAGAAAACTTGAAGAAAAGTTGTGGGTTTTTTCTTTTCCTTTAACTATTTCGAGGCCTACAATCCTTTACTATTCCGAATAAAATGTTGTTGTTGAGGCTACCTCTTCAATGATTAGAAATTATTTTGACTCAAAATCAAAAAATGGTTGTAGTTAGTTAATCCTTGTTTTGTCCTAGCCTTAAGTTTTCTCATAAATACTTCTTTAGATTTTTATGCCTGTGTTAACATGAGCGAACTGATTTAGGGAAAAAAAAAAAAAAGTGCAGCTATGAAGTGATCTGTATTATCATAATTGCCCTTGTGCATATTAGGTTCTCTGAATGATTTTGGTGGATGTGAAGTAGATCCCATTCTGAAAGCAGCTCCGAGGCTGCTCTCAAACAGCTCCCAATGTGCTCCAGCTCTTAGCAGTGCCATGGACTCCCGGAGCGCTGGCTCTGACCCCGTGCACAGCCCAGCCCCATGGCCCATGGAGAGGTGGATTCGCTGCCTGGTGTTTCCCTGCTCCAGAGCTGGGTGAAGAGCAGAAAATACAGTAACTTCCATTGTATTTCCCTCCTGATCATCACAGTGACATATTGGATTGAGTGTCTGTATATATTTAAAAAAAAAAAAAAAAAAGAGAGAGAGAGATAGTGTATGTTGAGGTGCCGACTATTCATCAAAGGTGATGAATATAAATAAAAATTAAAGATTTCACATAGAATTGTTTAGGGTAGATAAAACTATGATATAAATCTAAATTTTAAAAGATGAAAAGGAACTGGAAATATATGTTTTCTAATCTTTTTTTTCCTTCTTTTCTTGCCACACACGGTCTATGATGGCAGTATAGATAATGAAGTGCTACAAGCTCTTCTTGTGCTGCAAAGTGATCTTTTCCATGATGTTGTAGAAAGAATGTGAAGAATGTGTTAAATGTTATATGATAAAGCTACTGTAGTTTGGAGATTAAACTCTTTTTCAGCATGAGTTTATAGAATAAATGTATAAAATAGTGGTGCTAATGACAGCTATGGTTGTTTTTGCAATAGCTTTATGATGGATATGGCTCTTTTCTTAGTCCCACGTAACTTTCTTAAGAAAGTTAATGCAATGTGGTCAGCATCGTTCTGCACCGACATAAAATAAAAAGAAAACAACAAAAAAGAGTTATTGACAGATCAAGTAGGATGTAAATGTAAGCGGGTCCTGGCTCTCACTGAGACCAAGTTATGTGTGGATCAGGTATCTGTCTTTGGAAATGCCTGTTGTATATGGATTTCTGTGGGTTGTCGGTTTGGTTTTGGTTTGTTTTTTCTTCCAATATGAGAGTAAGTATAAACTAATGCAAGAAGACATTCATTATTATTATTATTTTATTTAACTATGAATAAAACCAGGGCATTAAATCTAAATACTTGGCTTTATGGAGAGAAAAAAAATCATAAGAAATTGACGTTTCTAGTGTAAATATGTTTTCATGTTATGTCTAAGAGGCTTATTGTAACTTTTTCTCATTTCAATCCATGGTTTTTTTCTTAAGAACTCTTGAAGAAAATGTCTACAAGATTGCTGTTTCTCTGGCTCAGAAATACAACGTTCCACTCTGGGAAGTTTATATGACCCATCTAGAGTATTTATTCACTGACAGTGGGTAAGTTGTCTGTGTCTCTCTCCTTATTAAATTAATTAATAGTTCTGTTACATGGTTGTATATCCTAGTCCAGGAGAAAATGGCCCGAGTATACTGGATACAGAATTGGATTTCTGTTTTCATATTTCATGTGTTGCAATTGGTTGGCTGTTTTTCTTCTTTTTAATATGATGCTGTTGTAAACAGCCATAAAATCACTTACAGGCAGGGCCTACAAGTCCTACAAATGTCACTTTGCATCGTGTTTTTATAGGTATCCGAAGACTTTGTTTTAGTGTCCAGGTTTCAATGGCTTTGAATGCTTAGTTATTTCTTCCAAGTTTTTGGAACAACTCTAGAGTACCAGATTTTGCCTGCCCATGAATGACACTGACTGGAGGGAGAGCAAAATAAGAGATGTTTATTTTATTTATTTTATTTATTTTTTTCTTCCCATTCTCCATTAGTAGGATATGGTTTTCTACCTTTTCTTTCTTTCTTCTGTGAATTAGTATTCATAGAATTATAAAATTAGCAAAATAGAAAATAAGGATTTATTTTTTTCCTAATGAAACTCCAAAAGGTCTTGAAAAGTGATACAAGAGCATGGTGTATGCATGTGGAATATGTTTTTTGTTGTATCATAATCTCATTTTAAAGTTGATTGACAGCATATGGTCACTACAGTATGTTTTAGTCTGGGATTATGGCATTAGTAATGCAGGCATCATTATGCGTTCATTCAGAAATGAAAAGAAGCTTATTCTAAGACCTAATCTCTTTTAATGAATTATGTGCTCTCTACAAGCCATTTTATAGGTAGAATCTCAGAAAAAGCACTTACATAGTTTTTATAAATTATTTCTTGACTTCATGATAGATATCCATCACGTTATTTCTTTTATGCTATTTAATTTGAGTTTGTTGAAAACTCTTAAATAAATCAATTTATTTGGAAATTTGTTTTAGTTATTTGGAAACATTACTGTTTCTTTTGCAGAATCTCATCTAATTTGATTACGAAATTCTCAAAAATGAGTTTTATAACTTCAGTGACAGGAATTACCTTTTTATCTGGAGGGAATCTATTCCAGAATCTTTGGAACAACATAATGAACCCTGCCCCCTGTCCCAACCCAAGAGCAAAACAATCACATATGTATCCTAAGTTCCTAGAAGAGCTGTTGTCAGAGAAAATTGCCCCTTGCCCACTTTTTGGTGCTTTTTGGTGTTCAATTGGATTGCCATTTTTTGCACAAAACTATAAAGCTGCAATGTATTATAGAAATAGCTGTAACTGAAACATGAAACTTTAGTGAACTTGATCTGAGTGAATTACTATAATTGGACGATAAGCAACTTATTATTCTCTGCAAAGAAAAATTATGTACAGATACGTATGCTTAGCTTTAAATATATAGGAATGTTTACTGCAAAAATGACTTACACAGTTAAATCTTACTGCTTAAACAAAGACAAACTATTGTCCTGTCTCCCAAGTATGCTGCTAAGCTTTCATATTTCATGGCATGTCCAAGCCTTTATTTTTTTCTTAAATACAGGTTATCCACAGTAGAAATAGAAGAACGAGCACAAAGTCTGGGTCTTTTTGAGATTCTGAAAAGCAACCCTGAAGCCTTACATGAGCACATGCTGAAGTATGTTTTCCCAAGCATTGAAGGCCGAGATCACCAGCGATTGCTTTATTATTTTACGCTCCTCGAAAGCTGCGGTTGTTCAGAATTGGTGAAGCAGGCTCTAAAGCCTGAAACTCACATTCGGCTCCTGAAAAAATTCAAAGCCGTTGCACCAGGTAGGAGAGTTACTATTTGATTATTGTTGTCTTCGCAGCAGTTCTCAGTTATCAAAATTCTTCAGTTATGTTGCCTATACTTTCCTTGTTTACCCTTGCCAGGTAAGTATTTTTTTCTTTAATCTTGCATGGCAAATGCTGGTAATTCAGTAGGTATGTTAGTCATGTCTTACAGAAGTAAGTTATTTTTCTCTCTATTTATGGAAATTTAGGTTAATCAACAAGCAAAACAGAAAATTCTAAAACAATATTTCTTATGGTGATGCAGGTTAAAATAATTGACAGTGGCATCTAGTGAATTTTTAAAGAAAAACCACAAATGTCCTACAGCATAATTTTTAAAGGAACAAGTTATGCATTAGCCGTCATAACTGTTTTAAGTATTTAAGTTTACTTTTCATAAGTCTTAATTATGTAATATATTACACTACATGCAGTGTTTGATAATGTGGTCTGCTGGAGAGTACTCCGAAGCTTTAAACACCATTTTCAATTTGCTTGTTGCTGTTAAATAGTTGTAGTATCTGGATTTTCAGCTGATGGAGTGTTCGATTAGTTTCAGAATGAGATTAAGAAAAATTTGTACTCTATGGAAAAAAAACAGCTCCTGTGGGCGTGACCTAGTTGTTCCGTACAGAAGCCTGACGTGTACTCACACGTTAGCTTTGCTTAGTGCAGAGTTTCGAAAAAATGTGCATATGAAATTAGGTATTGCAGGAATGAAAAAAAAAAAAAAAAAGGCAGTCCATTTCTTGGAAATGGTCATTTTCTGGAAACCTGACATGCTTCAGAGCAAAGTACTTCCAGCTTCCACTGAAGTATTTTGAATAGATAAATTCTATATGATGTATGGTACTTAGTGAAGCTAGGTCTGAGTTCTGTCAAATTAAATATCCAGAAGGAAAATATAATCTTGACCTAATATTGCCCATGCATAAAATAAGAATAAACTTTCATTTCTGTGGATCTTCATATCTATAGGTCTTCAGAATATTGGTAATATTTTCATTCGTGTGTTAAAACATTAAAGTTCTATGGTGAAGAAAACTATCTAGAAACTACATTTTTTTTTTGTTATTAAAGCTGCTTTTAAGTATTCCTCAGTAAAAGAGACCTGAACACTGTAGTGTCAAGAAATAAATCTGTTGTATGTTGTGGCCCTAATTAATCCTCCTTCAAAGTGCAGGATAGTTCATGGCTAGTTATAGTGTTATGGTATGGCAATAGCCTTTAATATTTGAATAAAGATATTTGGCAGTAGATGTAACTTGTCTTATATAATACTTATAGCAACAGCACTATCTTATTCTAAAGTCTCAGGAGAAGTATACTGTGTTTTGAAAAGGGTAAGTGCTATTGTTTTAGGTTAATAGGCAGGCATTTCACGCTTTGCTTATATAAGGTGCTTTTTCTATTGAATTGTCTGGTTTTTAAGAATTCTGTCTCTTTAGAAACTCAGGTGACATGACTGTTCTATCAATAGGACATGCAGCTTCGTTTATGTAATTGTCTCCCTGACCTTACTTAATTTGCTTGTGATTAGTATTTTAGTAAATTTTAGTTGTTGTGTGATTGGAATACAAGCTTTTAATTAATGAAGACTTAGCTGAGAAGGTGAGTGTGTGCACAAGGTTTTTAAGATTTATATTAAAAACCAATAGCATGTGTATGTATATATTCTTATCTTTCTGGAAATCTGCTTCTTTGGCTGTAGTTAATAGGTAGAAGGAAAATACGTGTCAGGACAGCATAAAATTTCTCTATTATCCTCATGTAAAATTCTGTCTTCATTCAGGCTATCAGTATGCATCACCCTAAGAAGTGGAATGAGATTCTTTTTAGTTCTGCAGATTTTGTTTTTAGTACTGATCATTTTATGCAGAAATATAAAGACATTATGAATGTATTTATTTTATTTGCCTTTTCCTCCTCTGTCTATAGGTCTCAATTACAAAAAGCTAACAGATGAAAGTGAGAACCCTCTAGGAATACTGGAGCCCATCCTTACAAGTCAAAATGTCTTATCTATTTCCAAACTGGCTCCCAAAATTCCTAAAAAAGATGGCAGCATGCTGTCACCAAGCTCTATTTATGCTGTCTGGTTGCCAAAACTTTTCTGGAATGGTGATCACCATCTCCTTAAGAAAATACCAGAAACCACAGCTGAGTGGCTACATGCGTATGATGTATGTTCAAAGTACTTCGATAGACTTGATCCAGGTGATATTACAACTTTTCTGGATGAAATTACATTTTCTTCAAAAGCTGTCACAAAGGTAAGCAGATGCAACTGAAGAATTTCAGGCTTCAAAGCACCAAAGAGAAATTTTCTGCAATTTTTCCCTGTTATGGATTTTGGGGGGAAGGAAGAGAATGATAAATTTATGAATGTATTAGTCTGCAAGCTACCTTTCTCTGTCTACCACTTTTCTGTGACATTTATTGTAGAAGATAATTTTATTCCTTTTTAATAGTAAGTTAGAGGAGTTAGCTCTGTTCATGAAATATTTTTATGGAACCTTGAAATTATTTTCTCGGTCAGCAGAGAATAAAATATTATTAATTATTTTACTTGTGCTGATCCTGAAAATGGCAGTGTTCTGTTTAGCACCAGACTTTGGCATCCTAAATAGGATGTTCCACAGAGAAGAGTTCATGTCTTGATCTGTCAGACTGTATAAACCTACTGACAATTTCTGTGCCTATTTGGAAAGACTCTCAGGCTGAGGTCATCGTTGTTAACCTGATCCTGGACTGAAGTAGCCAGGGGATGAACGTGCTCAAATGGGCAAGAAATGCTGGTTTCAGGTATGGCCACAGGGAATGGCCACTTGAAACTCTTCCTGTTGATGGACCTTGGGCATTTCTTGTCATCGTTTACTCCTCCTTGGTGGTCGAAGAGGATGGGTGGTCTCTACTGCGTACTTGCTGTAAGTTTGTTTAATCTGTTGCTGTTTAGAGTGCTAATACTGCTTCTCTAGTCTCTTACAGTTAGTTGGAGCAAAGGGAAGGAGCTCCCGTTGGCAACAGTGTTGTGCCCTTGTCCAAGGAGAACTTAGCAGCAGAAATCTGCCAGCTTTTTAGTCAAAACCCAGAGCCATAAAGCAAAGTCTCAAAGTGTTTGAAGTGGTTGAGTCCAGTCAGCGATTTAATGTATATTCTCCACTAGGTTTGGGAATGAAGAAGCTATTTAGCCAACTTCTCTTGCCTTAGAATCCAATAAATAGCTGGAATGAAAGTATAAAATGAAAACATATTGTTATAGTTCCTGAAGACTCCTGTTTCTCAGAGGTCTCTTTCCTGTAGTTTTGATCTATGAAATTTTATTGTTTTCAATCAGGGCTAGTCATGATGACACCTACTCTTTTATCTCCAGCTCTCTATTTCATCACTTTCCTCCCATCATAGTTTTATGGGCAAAGGTGTTGTTATATCAGTTTCACATTGCTATAGCAGATATGCTAGTCTGTAATTCCATATTAATATTCACTATAAATAGAGGACTGTATGGTGATTACCATGAAGCTCTTTTTCATTAGAGCGGGTAAAGATCAAATCAAGAAAAGTCTGAAGTAAGGGTGAGTAATGGGGAAGCAGACTAAGTAGGTAGAATAGGGCTCTGTCAGTATGGGCCCTCTTCACTTACCCCTTTCCCTTCATTTTATTATTATTAATATCTCATATTTTAATATTTGAAACTCCCATGTATGTCTGATGTCACAATGATGTTATGAAGCATAGATTTTCTCGTCCTCCCTTCCATGTCTTTCATTATTTTCATTACTCTTTCTTTTTGCATCTGGTTCTTTGTATGTGTCTTTGCTTTCTCCAGTGTTCCAGTTGTGTCTGTATTAAGGTGGTCAGTTCTTTCTTCCCCTCACACATTGAAAAACTACATTGAGCCTTTGAACACCACAGCTTACTGAAAGTAAATAGAGGGTTCTTGTTGTGGTATATCTCCTCAGAAGCACTCTTAATTCTGAATTGTTCTTCACATTTTTCTATTGAAATAAATGATATCCCTGCTGAGTGGAAAGCATAGACTTCTTAATTATATGAAAAATACAGGGTTTTTTTTTTCCATTTGGGGTATTCTAATCATTCAGTAGAGCTATTGCTAATGTTTATGCATGTATTTTTTTAGCTTGTCATGTTTTATTCTCGCAGCTGTATTTACTTTAAGTGCAGCTTACTTCATAAAGCTCTAGTTATTGTAGTGATTGTATCGACATTTTTGATCTTTGGGATGGTTTCGTGTTTGCTCTCCTTTGTGACCTTCATGGAATGTTTGAGCTAATTTGTTTTTTTTCTTACTCTTTTGCTCATAGCCTTGCTTTGTTGGTTGTGTTAGATTGCCTGTTATGTCTTTAAAAAAACAGCTGTTGTGTCAGACCTCATAGGCCATTGCTGTAATCATAAAGATTATTTTAGATAAATTGTATCTAAAAGAAATGGGGGGAAAAAAAGAGAAAAAGAAAAAAGGCAAAAGAAATGGCACAGCCATTTAAAACCAAAAAAACACAAACAAATTTAAAATAATTAGCCTTTATTTCACTGCTTTTTCATTATGGAGAACACATTACAAATAAGAATAGTCACAATATGTTAATTAGGAAGAAAAGACTACAGCTGCAAGAGTAGACTAAAAAGCAGTGCTTATAATCAGGTAGGTATTCTTGGAGGAAGGAATGTTCCTTTAAAAATTTGAGGCTATTTTCCATAGCCTCTTGTAGTCTTGGCTACATCCATTCGAACTATAGCTGGTGATATATGTTTAATTTACAAATGCATCCCACACTTTGCCTCCAACTTCTGGCGCAAAGGAAGAATTTTGCATTCAGCTTAGTATTTTTAATTGAAATGTTGACTTCTGTTGCTTCTGAGGCAGTAATGTCTTTTTTGACCATTTTCTTCTTGCTTAAGTTGGGATACAGTGTCAACATTTTGACCACACATCAAATGAGTGTGTTAGGAGAGATCCTCTTATGATTCTGGATATGGATGTGTAACTTTCTCTTTCAGCTTTAGTACCCTTTTTAATAATTGTGTGAAAAGCTGTTAAGGGAGCTATTTAAAAGGAGCTCCAAGTAATTTTCCGTGTTTTTTCATCTGGCTCGTTAACTTCTTGACACCATCTAAAATGCCAAATATAAGGACAGTACATGACATTGCCTGAGCATGTACAAGAATTTGCAAATGATGTTCTTATAAAGCACAACCAGATTCAAATATTGGCTTTTGAATTACTGTTTCTTTTATCACTTGGGTGCTTAAGTTCATTCAGTTTGTCTTATATAACGTCCTGTTCTCCATGGGTATGGAAAGCACCTCTGTTTCTGTGACCAGTACACTTTTGAGCATTTTCTTACCTTACCGGTAGTATGCTATTTTCATAAAAAAATTGTTTCAAGGATTCATTATAGGAAGCTTCACTAATGCTTTTCCTTTAACTGATTCCTTAGTTTAGAACTTTTACACCAAACTCCATATGAATGCAACGTAGTGAAATAATACTAGTATAGGAATGGGGAAACTTGTTTTTTTATTCCATATCAGTTTAAGCTACTTCTAAGTTAATGAATGTAGTTTGATTTTCATTCCAGTATGTGTGGTTAGCTTGTGTCTATGAAGTATTTATGTGGTGGAAAATACAAAGCTGGGATTTAGTCACAGATAAGGGAATGTGACCTATGTTGTTGGCGCCCTTGGTTCCTGTTGCATAAAAAAGGGATGTGTTTCCTTCATCTCAGAGTTGAATATTAATCAGTGGCAATAAATATGGTGGTGTCAGGGTCTTCATTTTCAAGTGAATGTTGCTTGTACAATGCTTTATTAATGCTTATATCTTCTGAAGAGAAGAAATTTCTTCAGAACATATAGATTGAAAGCCTCTCTAAACTGTAAAATTCTTCTTAAAAAGATAACTTCACTCTTACACAGGCAAAAAAGAGATTGCACTAGCTCCTAAAGCTATTTGTTATTACTGAGTATAATGCCAAATTTCATTATTGAAGCTGACTGGAAATATGGAAGATAGTCATTCATGTTTTTGTTTTGGATTGAAATAATCATAAATTGTTATGTTGGTAGGGATGCACTTCATCACTACACAAATATGAACACAAAAATAAAAACAGTGTTGGAAAGGGTGTGGTTTTTTTAATGCTTTAATTTGTATGCGCTTAAGACACTGTGGCTTCTAAAAATGCAGCATGTTCACACATTTTTCTGGGATATAACAGTTAGATGGAATATTTCTATTATTTGCTTTTTCCATTCCTTCAAATTACTTTTTGAACATTGGAATGTACACTAGAAATATAATAGTTAGATGGAATATTTCTATTTGCTTTTTCCATTCCTTCAAATTGCTTTTTGAACATTGGAATGTACACTAGAATGAGAAAGAAATGAAATATGTGGCTGCTTTCATTTTTTATGTTATTACATTTAAGAAATCCATCTGTGGTCATCATAGTTTCTTGTGATATCTAGATTGCACCTTTTCCCTGCTTAGTAAAACCTGATGCTGACGTCTTGTTCTCAAGTAGCAAAATCCTATTTAATTGCTTCTAGTGAGAATGGAACTTAACTTTGGAATTGAATGGTAAAATATACTTCCAATTTACTCTGTGAACGCTGACAGTAGTTCACAGTTCTTGCAATAATTCTCCCTCTTCCCTTTCCCTTTGTTTTCTCCATTGACAATGTCAATGACAATGATCCAATGGATCATTACTGCGGTTCACAGCCACAGTGTTAAAAAAGGGAGTAATCATTTTCCTTCATGTACCATCTTTTCAGAAGAAAAATGCTGTAAATGCTTTAAAACTTTTTAGTAACCATTTTTATCAAGTTTCTGTCACGTTATAGATAGCCTGATTCATGATGAAAATATCAATTTGACTTTCATATAAAGGATGCTGTTGTAGTTCTGATTTTCCTCTTTCTCTGGTAATTGTCAGTATATTGTAATCATACTTAAGGTAAATTTTTAAATTAACCAATCATGCATGAGTTTTTAAAGTCATCGGCCTTTGTTTTGGACTTCTAGTTCAAATAATGTCGTTCCTGACTTAACAGTGCAGCAGTTTGCTACAAATACTGTCTGTATAAAGAACATTTCCAACTATATCCCTTTCCAAACACTCTAAACTGATTTTCTTCAGTACTCTTGCATTTTGGAAGCTTGGAGATCTCTAATTATTACCTAATGCCACTTGGAAGTACTAGTTTCCATTCTTGAGCACAAAAATGACCCTTCATGCTGGTTGGAGGACTAAGAGGAAACTTCATTCAGAGAATGTAGAATTTTGTATTTGGAAATCCAGGCTCTATGATAAGCTTAGTGCAAAAGCAAAGTTTCTTATTTCAGTCTAATAGCTGGATACTTCTAATTTTGGACATCAACATCATTTACTAGTGATGTTTGTTTAATTTGTGCTTTAAATAGGGCAGGTTGAGAGGAATTTGTTTATCTGCTATAAGCACTATTTTGTAGGCAGCAGCTTTATAAAATGATGAGTAACTGCAGTAATAATCTGTTTGAAGATGAACAGAAGTTTAAATTAAGCTGCCAAATCTTCATTGCATTAATATGTGTAGGTTGCCTGTCTGACATCCCACGTGGAAAGTAGGAGCAGTTGCAGTAAATGTGCAAATGTATGGGTGAAGGTACACATGTCCCAAGAAAAGTACATGGAAGTTGTGTAGTTGTAAACCTTACTCGTCATTGGTTTGGGGTTTGTTTGTTTGTTTTTATGGTTATAGTCCTATGGATAAATGTAAACAGTGACTGGAACCTAATAAGATTAACCTTAAGTTAATTTTCACATTTTGGGACTTCCAGTCTGTCTTCCAGAATTATCTCTGGACATCTCTCAATGCAGAATTAAAAAGCAGGGATTACAAAAGGGCAGTCCGGACAAGCAATGAGAATTATGATGGAATATACGTTTTATAGGTTTTTATGATGAGCCAAAATTAACATCAATAAAAGATAAAGAGGAAAAGGCAAAAACATGTTTGAAACTGATGGTTTTTAGGGTTTCTCTCATACAATATTTGACTTCATTTTATGCTGTACTGTGCAGCCGTGTAAGCTTTAAGCACTTCTATAATACAACTGCTACTATACAAATGATGCTAATGGTTGAATATTCTGTCATATTTTCCAGCTGCCAGTTGAAGCGAGGATAGAAGTGACCGAGAAGGCTATTAAAGCAGTCCAACATCTTTCAGAAAAATTAAGAAAAAGAAATCCTGAAAATGACATGGCAGGTGCTGAAAATGTATCTGTTGCCTATGAAGAAAGTCTGAATCACTTGCAGCAATCTCTTGCTCATCTGCAAACCCTCAGTAATAGTTTTATCACTTCTTTGAAAAACAGTGAACAGGTAATGATAAATTACACTCGTATTTAAGTGTTTTGCAACAGTATCCTCAGTGTGCCTTTCCCTTGGAAACTTCAGTTCCAAGTTTCTCTTGGTTTCATTGGAGATTGAGATTTGAAGAATTTCATAAATTCGCTGTTAACATACTCAAAATCTTTTATTGTTACTTCTGAAAATTTTGTCTGAAAAGACCCATTATTTTTACTGTCACTGGGCAGGTTGCTCCAAGAAAAGCTTAGCTGAAAGCTTTTGTCTAGAATGCATGGAGGTTTTTAGCGTCTGTAGTGATATACAATAAAAATAAACATACAGAAAAAAGTAAATAAATCTGCAAGTAATTTATTGGCAAGTTTTATTGAACTGTGTTGATGTTATCTTGAACAATCACAGAGGAATAGAAACTAATTAATTCATTGAATAGCTGCTAGTTTTGAATGAAGGTATAATTTCTTCTAGGAAGTATTTTGTCCTTTTGTTTTTAAAAAATGGGTCCAAGCTAACAATTTTGAGGAGCTAAAATAATATTAAATGGATTAAAATATTAAATAGATGTTACTAAAGCCTCCAATTTTGCACAATTTAACAAGTTATATAATATAATAAATTGCCTGCAAATACAGCTTTGCTAGACATAGAGTGGTGTTTGTATGGCTAACTTTTGTATTGTAAAACACACTTAAGAGAAGCCTGGTGCAGAAAAATCTTTACGTTTGCTTAAGAATATCATGCATTGTTACAAAAGCCTGTTTACTAACCATGTGCTTGTCTTGAATGCTACCAGAAATAGTTACCTAAGAAATCAAGTTTTTATCATATTTTATTGATATTTTTATAGCTTTATTTCGTTGACCTGGATTTTGAAACTTCACTTCGGTCAGTCTTTCCCAGTTTCATAGTAACATGTTAAGTGGTGTGGGGGAATTAAAGACACTGAACGATGTTTAGCTCTAAATGAAGGATGTGCTGACTCATGTTCCAAACCTGCTTATCCACAGGAAACACTCCAGAAGTATGGCTATTTGTATGATTTGTCAAGGTCGGAGAAAGAAAAAATCCATGAGCAGGCAGTAGCTATGTGCATAGATGGTCAGCCTCTGGACATGATACAACAGTTGTTACAGGTGGCTGTTGGGGATCTAGGCCTTTCTCCGAAGGATATTGTCCAACGTGCTATTAAAGAAATTTTATGTGCATTAAGGTAAGTATGCCATAGGTCCAAGAACCTTCCTTTGTGTTTATAGTAGGTACTCTGGATTCTGCAAAAAGCTGGGAATAACCAAAAAAAAAAAAAAAAAAAAGAATTTTTATACCATTTGTGCTCTTATAATTACTCAGAGATGACTATTCTAGCTTTTTCAGCTCAGGAAGTCTGTGTGATCTGAACAAAGCAAGCCACAGAAGCGTTCACTGGCTGGTTTTCTATCTAAAAAAAGTGTTTTTTTTGTTGTTGTTGTTTTTTGTTTTTTAAGCCAAAAACCTTGTCTTTGTGCTTTGATTGCTCTGTGTGTGTGTGTGTGGACACGCACACACTTGTGCATTTTTGGAGCATTTACACATAATTGCATTTATTATTTCTTAAGCAGAGGGTCAAAAGGCTGTTGGGAAGAGGTAGTGAGTAGGAAAAGAGGAAAAGATGTCATGCAATATTTTGGGTAATAGATGTCTAGCAACAGCAAATCCTGCAGGAGGAAGTAAAATTTGCCCCTTTGAAATAACATTCTACAGAGTGATTTGTGGTGGTGATGTTTTTATTTTCGTTTATTGGCAAGGTTTTCAAAAATAAGCTTTTCTGGCACGTACTGTATGTTTTAAGTTGTTTTAAGCTACCATGCCTTTTTGATGTTTGTTCTCCTAAAGAGAGTTTCTGATGGTGTTTTTCTCCTTTCTTCTCTTTGTGCTACCCCTTCTCTTCCCAAATTAAAGTGTAAGTGCTGCCTGCTTCCCATAGCACATAAGAGATAAATGATATCCTAAAAAAAAAAAAAAAAAGCTGACTTGTTAGAGAGAAACAGATTGTTGTGATGGAGTCTGTTTTGTTGAACTCTGTTACTGTTTCTTAACTGGTACCATCATACTAGGAGCATTCCCACACACTGTCCAAGACCAAGAGCTCATTTCCATCCTTTTTCGGATTCATGGATCCAAAACCTCAGCAATTTTCTTTGGTATTATAAGGACCAAATATCCAGCCTGTTCACACAGCCCTAGTGAGCTGAGTCATCTGTTGTAGTTAAAATTAGGGAGAAATAGGCTAGGAGAAAAGGATTCAGAATAACTCGATTCAGGCAGTTTATACTTACTTATCCCTGAATAATTCTGTTGATACCTTGGCAAGGCGTGGGCGATGCAAAGCAGCATCAACTACAGCTAATGCTGAGCATCTTAAAATCGCATTGACAGTTTAAAAGAGCTGAGTTTAGATTCTGTCAGGTCAATTGTGTTGACTCCAATACAATGATCTTTGAATTGAATTGATTGTATTCCTTATCGGATTGCTTAGGAATTTAAATTTAAACACTTGCCAGAAGCAGTCTAAAACCACAGTAATCATAGTGAGTTTCTTCAGCAGTGTCAGCTTGCACTGAATAGTTGTGTTGGCTTCTTTGATTATAGGCAGCGTATGTATTCCTTTACTTTTACTCCAGAAAGGACGTGTCTTAGATTCACAAATTTGATGATGAAAGTGTTTTAGCGTGTCTGGTATTTGGGAGAGTATAATGACTATATAGAACCATTAAAGATAGATAGATAGATAAATAGATTTGTGGGCACAACTGAGAGAAAACAAGCGTACTGTTTGCTAGGCCTTTCTGTGAGATAAGTTTCTCTTCCTTCATTGTGCTAAATGATCAGTTGTCGTCCAGCCTGCCACTCAGAATAACTCTCCGTTAGGTTTGATAAGTGATTTTACAGCTTTCAGTTTTTAGCTGCACACAAGCACATAAGTATGAGTTTTTAGCATGTCACAGAATCACAGAATGGTTGAGGTTGGAAGAGACCTCTAGAGATCATCTAGTCCAACCCTCCTGCTCCAGCAGGGACACCCAGAGCACGTGGCACAGGGTGGCATCCAGGCGGGTTTGGAAGATCTCCAGAGAAGGAGACTCCACAACCTCTCTGGGCAGCCTGTGCCAGGGCTCTGTCACCCTCACAGGAAAGAAGTTCTCCCTCACATGGAGGTGGAACTTCCTGTGTTTCAACTTAGACCCGTTACCCCTCGTCCTGTCCCTGGCTACCACGGAGAAGAGCCTGGCCCCATCCTCTCTACAGTCACCCCTCAGGTACTTGAACATACTGATCAAATCTCCTCTCAGCCTTTTCTTCTCCACACTAAATAGACCCAGCTCACTTAGTCTTTCCTCATACAGTAGATGCTCCAGTCCCTTAATCATTTTGGTCTCTCTCTGCTGGACCCCCTCTAGAAGCTCCATGTCCTTCTTGTACTGGGGAGCCCAGAACTGCATCCAATACTCCAGGTGTGGCCTCTCCAAAACTGAGCAGAGGGGCAGGATCCCCTCCCTTGACCTACTGGCAACACTCCTCCTCATGCAGGCCAGGATCCCATTGGCCTTCTTGGCCACGAGGGCACATTGCTGCCTCATGGTTAACTTCTTGTCAACCAGGACTCCCAAATCACTCCCCATGGAGCTGCTTTCCAGCAGGTCAACCCCTAATTTGCACTGGTGTCTGGGGTTATTCCTCCCCAGGTGCAGGACCCTGCACTTGTCCTTGTTGAACCTCATAAGGTTCCTCTCTGCCCAACTCTCCATCCTGCCTAGGTCTCTCTGAATGGCAGCACAGCCCTCTGGGGGGCTGAGTTGTGGGTCCTTTGCATCAGGGCCAGCTTTTTTTTTTTTTTTTTTTTTCCCTTTTATATAGCACAGTGAAGAAACTGAAGATATTCATGAGGTTAATGAAATGTCAGGGGTGGTGATTTGAGACTTCATCATTCTTGAGGCTAGTATATGTTTATAGTGATGTGTTGAGATGCTTTTCTTTAACAAACTTAGGATTTGTAAAAGTTCTTGAATATATGTGGTTGGATAAGTTGTCCTCCTTGCTGCCAAGGAATTAGATGTGTTCTGATCCCTTCATTGGTGTGGCTGAACAAGAGAGTGGTCGAGTTGTGATGCTCCCTGTTCTAACAGCTGGGCTAGAGAGCACGTACAGGCAACATGGTTGCTGTGGTTGGACTAAAGCTGTGCTGTGATGTGTTTAGGACAATTGGAAAAACAAGCTCTAGGATTTCACATCCCTGTTAGTAGTTTTGTTCCCAGGAGGAAGGCTCCGAGGATTTTTGCCATCATTGTTGACAGATCATCAATGAGCTGTTAAGAATTCTGTTCTCTGTGGTGTTCTTTCTCCTTCAGAACAGCATAAAAATGTTCACTTTTGCTTTTCTCTTTTCTGTCAATTGAAATTAATTCAACTGAAATTAATTCAGCAGAGATTTTCTTTTTTAACCTGAGGCCAGTCCTTTGAATTCGATGTTACAGTGTTACCTGTTGCCTTTTCCTGAGCTATGATACACTGGGAATCCCAAACAAGGCACCATTGGTTTGTGAACTAGAAATCTTTTGAGGTTTTTGTTTCTTTCTTTCTTTTTGGAAGGGGAAAAAGGTGGAAGATAGAGATGGGCTGTTTGATGTGATTGAGAAATGAGCAGGTATTTCTGTTAATTCCAAACTTTTTCAGAAATACTTTTGTTCTGAAAGGATAAGAGCAACAAGAAAACTGTTCCACTGTTATGTGGCTCTTCGATCCTGTCTCACTTGTAAGACCAGTTTAGAAACACAGAACTCTTGGGTGTTTTGCTTATTTCTCTGATTCTTCTGCATGCTGTTGTTACTACGATGATGTGAATCACAAACCAGAAATATAGAAATAATTGTAGAATAGAGTTGTCCACATGTGTAACTGTCCTTCAGCATTTCTGGGTGTATCACAACAGAGTGAAGAGAAGAAGACATTTCAGAATATTTGCAGCCTTCTTTGCAAACTGATTATTCCTATCAATTCAGTTCAAGAGTGTTCATGGAATCCCCGTGATAATAGAGCTTTTTCATAGGAACACATGTCTTTTTGGCTACCTTTGTCCATTTGGAAAACAATTTGGCTTTAAGTGATCATTATCATCATGCTGTTTGCAGCTGGAATACAGCAGTGCAATATATGTGGATATGAAGCTTACACAATCCAGTTAATTCAACCACAGTGAGTCTCGTTAATAGGATTATGACCTCTCAAACCTATCGAACTTCTCCTTTCCACCCTGCTTCTTATCCCATTTTTCTATGAATTGAATTATTAGGCTTTTTATATGCATCTCAAGGCTAGAGGCTGGAAAGTTCATTTGAAGTTCTCAGGCAGACCATTATTAAAAACTCCTGTGCGGCACTTCACTGAAAGGAGGGAAAATATATCCTTCCAGTGGATCTTTTGGGAGGGACAAAAGCAGAATTCGTTAGAAGCTTCTGATGTACTCAGAAGTTCACCACTTTTCATTTGACATGTGATATGCATTCCTCTGACCGGTGTTTTTTCCTTATAAATATGTAAAAACTTGTTATGTTCCAACACAAGTTGATGTAGAACAATATGCTCCTTTCCTTCCTGTCTGGAAGAGGATGAGAGGCAAGTCACAGGGTTGATAATATACATGGGTGCTATTGAAAGAATGTCTAATAGAATAGTAAATAAAAAAAGGAATTGTAAAGAACATGAGTCTAGCCTAAAGTAAAATAGAAAATACTAGATGTAATATTCTTCCTACCATGAAATTCAGTAAAGGGTTAATATGATAAAGTAACTTCACTTTTCACCCAAAAAAAGTGTTGGAAAAAAATTGTTGTTGCTTGGTATCACTTAAGCCTGCTGACATTGATATCATCAGTGTGAATGAAATTGCATGCATGTGCTGCACTGAGATGTTAGCATTCAGTCTAGGGCAACAGCAGAAATCAAAACATACAAACCAAGCATTCTGTGTAACACTTCTATTTCTGCATTTGTGGAAAAAATATGATAAAATATCCATACTGTGTGCCCAGAATACTGAATACTGAACTACTATTCAATAAAGATAACGCTTCAAAGGAAAGCTCCTAAGATTTATTTGTTGGAGTTTGGATATATTATGCAACGTGGTTATTTTACACAATAGTTTTGAATACATCATCTTGGAAAGCTTTTTTCTTCTTTTAATGAAAATTAGCATTTATAAAGTAGTTGGTTTTTAAGTGGGTGTATTAACGGGGGATTTAGTGAAGATACTATAACCCCAAATGAAACAGGCCTGTATAAACGGGAAGGCTTGGGTTAGTCTCAGTGATATCCCTGAAGGGTAAGTGCAGATCCTAGCACCGCGGTGATTCAAAACGTGCATCCCTTGTTTCAGTTTCATGATTATAACCCAAAGAAGATTTCTTTTTGCCTTCTTACTTCCAATAGCACAGTTTCAGAGGCTTAAAAACTCTCAGACCTCTCAGAAACAGCATCGAAGGGAAAATACAGTTACTTGCCCATCTGTAAGTGCCCCAATTGAAGAGCAGTGTTGTCCAGTTGTGTTAACTGCTTTTATTTTCCTTGCCACACTTGTTTTGATGCACAGAATCCCAAGTGGAAGCCCATGCGCTGCTGTATAGGGCATCTCTCAAGCAGGGACTGTCTGCTTTCCTCCTGCAAAAGTGATATTTGGTAATTTCTTTCAGTGTTAGCTGCTATCAATAGAATTCATTTCTCTCTTCAGTAGAAAATTGGAACTTTTGAAAAATATAAGATGTTTTTCAATATTAGTAGCCTGATTAGAGTTACACAAATTTCATTTTCTCCTAAGTTCACTTACGTGATTATACTGGAGACTTTCCACGATGTGTGAAATTACTTTTAGGAACATTCATAGATATATAAAGAAGTATTTAGATCATGTGTGATGGTTTCCTGTGCAGAAATCAAGGTAGTCAGAAAAGGCAGTTTTTTTTCTGTTCAAGGTATGGTAGTCTTTGTTTACAACTCCTACATTTCTTATCTCATATACATATACAGGTGAATATAGTCAATATATTGTTTCTGGCAGTGGGCAAGAAAGTTTTGGTGAAAATCTGAACTCCTATTTATTTATTAATTTAGTTTAACTCCTCTATTTAGAGAAGGAGGTAAAGCCAGTTGCACTAGATTTTCAGGTAGCTAACTTCTGAAGAAAATTATAACTGCAGGGTTTTCACTGACTGTCAATGTGACTTTTTCCCCAGTGTGGTATGATAGTACAAACACGATAAGATTTTTCCATTTCCCAATATTCAGAGGAAATGCAAGCAAAGAGGAAAATAAACCTGAAGAAATAAGAGGATATCAAGTATTTTCAATGAATAGCATAATTAAGTTAAAAGACTTGGATACATTTAATTTATTCTCCCTTCAAGCGTTCTTTGTAGTTTATTGTATTTGAGGAACATCTTGATTAAATATGCATCACTTTTTCTGAAGCTGAACTGAGATCAAAATAAGCCTTTATCAGTATAATTACACCATGCTCATGCCTAGGAGTTTAGAGGTGAGCATTGAATCTCATTCTGCTGTTTATAACTTGCATAAAACAGCATAATATGTGTGAAAGAATTCCTCATTAATTTGTTTCTGTTAGTAGCTGTTTATTTTTCATCATCAATTATTAAGAAAAGAACAAAGCAACAGTATTTATGATAACCTGACACAGGCGAATTTGACAGCTGAACTGTAATTTCTTTTTAGTTTCTCTAACTATTCTTAGGCAGTGTAGGCAATGTCAAGTCTTTTTAAAAAGATAGCTTTCAACTGTACATTAATTTCAGGAAAGAGCATTATTTCATTTCAATTGATAGATTTCATTTCTAGTTTATATTAAAATATGCTATTGTTATTCTTAACTAGTTTACCTTTTAGATTCACTTTTTTCGTTGTATTCTTTTTTCACCTCTCCTTGTTGATAGAATAATACTTGGGTGTCTGTAGCACCTCCCATATGACAAAGACAAAGCTTCCTGTAAAAGTTTAAAAAACCCACTGTAGTCCAGAGGTGTCTTTGTAGGTGGGTTACCTGAAAATAAAGTCCTTTCCATTTTCCAGGAATTACCATTAACCTTTGGATATACATTTCTTTGAGATGGGTTGTTTCTGAGATGCCCAAAGCCTCATTGCTATAGAAGCTTAAGGCTTACATTTCTAATTAAAGATACTAAACACTTTCAAAAGCAAGTCTTAGTCAAGTCCAAACCTGAAGAAACCCAAAATATAAGGTTTGGTGATCATTTTGTTTGATATTGGAATGTCTTTATGTGCAATAAAGATAATTCAGAGACAGTGGAGCTAGCAGGTTCTCTCTTTCTGTGATCCATGTCCTATGCCCTTACTACAGCCTTAGTGCTTTCCACTTCAGACATCATCTTCTGGCTATTCTTCTACTTCTCTTACACAATACAGTGTTAATGTCTTTAATTGATGACTTTTTAAGAGAAACTTGCTTGGGGGGGAAAAAAAATCCCAATAATACAGGAAAATTAAAATTGGCCTATAAACAACTCTTTAATAAAGTAGCTTTGTTCATAGAACCTTTCTTAAGTTTTCCTAGTTTCCTGGCATTTTTTATATTTCTTAACAAATCTATAATAATTTTTCTTTTAATGTAGTTTTTAATGTTGTTTATTTATACTTGTTAAGGAAGATTTTGCCTTTCATTACTTGAGATACAGGCAGAATAGGAAATTTTCTCTGTTATTACAGAAAATTGCTGTCATATTGCGTTTGATTTCCTATGCAAAATACACATTTTTCTAAGACTGAGATGTTTGACCTAACTAAATTATTCAGATCCTGCATTAGTACGAAATATATTTGCCTGTGATAGATGAGACACTAGAAGAATTCTTTTCTTTTTATGTTTCTTTTTCTTTTGTATAACTCTTTTTTTTCTCCATGACTTTTTTTTTCTTCTTGTGTGTGAAAATAGAGTAATATTTTGGGGATAGAAGTTCTCTCTAGGGACTCTGCATAATTCTAAGCTATAAATAATGATTTGATTTGTTTTCCAAGAGACATTATGTAGATTTAAACTTTTCACTCTTCTAAAACTAATTTAGCTGTCATTTGATAGTATCCAGTGGTATCTAGATACTATTTAGATCTACTACTACTACTTAGTACTATCTGGATACTATTTATACTAATCTAGATACTATTTGATAGTATCATGGGTGGGAGGGAGCTTCTAAGAAAGGATCATTCATTACTGAATTTTGTGTGTCTCATTAGTAGTGGAGATGGCAATTCTTCTACCTCAGTGAAGGATCCCCTTGGAGTCCTAGAAGGCATCGTGTCTGCAGTCCACACGAGTGTTGAAAAAGGGTAAGAAGTTATTGTATGGATTCTTTGGTTAAGGCTTTGAAGAATACATCTTAAGAAAGCATGGAAGGTACAGTACTAAATGTGGATGACTTATTCATGGGTATATCTAATGGGTTTGCATTCCAAGATGTTATTCTGGAACAAGATATCATTTATAATGTTTAAAATCTGAGACACTTATTTGATGATCTGGAAGAAATCAAGTCACTGAACCTAAAAGTAGGTCAGCCACATACTGTGGTATTTTGAGGAAATTGTATTTCAGCTCTGACTACTGCAGGTTGAATAACTGCCAGAAGTAGAGTTCTTCACTGGTTTTCTTTTAGTTCACTAGAAAAACAACAAATAATAATGATAGAGATATCTAAATATATCAGTATTTCTGAAATTTTGTTGCAGAAATTTCACAAATGCTTCTGTTTTTTTTCGTCCTTTTTGTGTATATGCCCTTCTTTCAGCTTTTGGAATGATCAAGCTGAGTCTGGCTCTGCGATTTTTTTTTTTTTTTAGTTTTTAGTTTTTCTACCAGATGTAAGAACTAAGAACAGGAAAAGCAATTGCCTTGTTTTGTGGCAATGCCTACACTGGCATTAAATTAGTTAAATGCAGTAATATCAAGCTATTGGATACTGAACTTGACTGATTTGATATCATAATTTACAGTACATCTGACTTGTAATATTCCGCTGTAAATGGGAACGTAAGAGCTCAGATTTTTTTCTCTGTGCGGTTGCGCTATTAACATTAAAGTCTTAAAGTAGTAAGTTGGAGTGAGGACTGCAAGAATTTATTTAGATTCATTTAAATATTTATTCCTTTTTACCTGTTCAAACTCCAACTATTCTGTTTACAAAGCACACATTTTCCCTTCAAGGAAACTTATATTAATATCAGGTGTGAGCTCTGCAGAACTCTGGAAATACTGCAGCAGACCATCTTTTTAATACTCATACTTTGAATTTACAGTTTCAGTGCCACCAGTCATTTCTAATTTAGCTCAAGTTCTGAGCTGAACAACATTATTCAAACAATAAAACGTCTAAATAAAATTGTAATCAGGACCTGCTGAAAATCTAAACTGTCAATATTTATTATTTCAGAGCTGCAAGACAGGTTAAATTGGTGTTTTCTAATGGTAATACTTTCCCGTCTGCCTTGTTAAGATAAATAAGGGAGCATTAGCTATAAATAACACTCCAGCTGGAACCACTTTCTCAATTTGTTTTGTTTTGTTTTTTAAAGCAGGGGGAGCTGTAGCTTGAAATGCTACTAAAGGATAGATGAATACTATTTGCTGGTTTATTACATGTTCATTAAGAGGCAGGAAGGAATAAAATGAAATCTTCTGACACTGCTAGCAAGTTGGCTGTGTTTGTGCAAATGGGTGTAGTGTAAATGTTTTCACTCACGTTGTATTTAGTCTAATGCACTGCTTTTGGTAGTCTCATATAGTTGTCTAATCTAATTAGTGAATTAAAATGAAATATCTTTTTCTCCTGCCAAGGTAATATGGGCATTCTGTAATTATTAGCATACCAGAGCCATTGGCTATTGATGGTATAGAAAAAAAAAGAGAAATGACTAGAGTTACGAAGAGGAAAATCAATGGTGAAAGTAGAGAAGGTATCAATACAGGGAGGAGGAGGGTGTAGGGCAATAAGATTTATCTTCAAATACAAAAAAAAAAAAAGTCATACTTGAAAAGCAGCCAGTCGAGTTTGTTTTCATAAGGCCAGGTGGTATGCAAGTATAGGCATCAGTCAAGACCAGACAAAATAAAACAGCTTACATTTTTAGGTCCTAAAATCCACTGTCATTATGATCATATTATTTTGTCAGATCTGGAGAGAGGTTCCTAGAATATTACATGGTTATTTGACCAAGTTTTTTTTGTATTTAAGTCTTTATATGGGAGAGGGCAAGGTGGAGAGTGTCTTCAGATGCCTCAAGGAACCCTCTGCGTAACCACTTCCCTTAGATATCAGCTTAAGCATTTAGGGTAATTTCATTGCTAAAATTAAGGTGCTTTATTTACTGTAAGTGGTGCAACTGCCTTATTATAAAGGTCTTTCATCGTAACAGTAAAGTTTAGTGAGTGAGGCTGTATCAGCAAAGGATTAAAGACTGGGCATCTAGCCTGTGAGCCAGCCTTGTGCCCTGCAAGGTGGGCTCTGCCAAGGCAAAAGAAAGATGCTGACTGTCCTTTGACAGGCATGGGGCTTTGCCTGATAAAGGCTGTGGTCTTAAAGTACAGTCTTAAAATTCAAATGCCCAAGAAAGTATAGTATCACATGATGCTTTGATTAAAAGCGTGTTTCATATGCATTTCAAAGATATACTACAAACTGGTTTATTGAAAATTTCAAGGTATAATCACTAGATAAATAGCAATGAGTGAAGCTTTTATTTTTGTTTGTTTTTGTTTTGTTTTAGTAGAATTCTCTAGGAGCTTGTTCTTGTTATTACAATACTTAACTGTCTAGATAATATTAATTTGTTTCCTGAAGTATGAATAGGCAATAAAAGTGTTAACATAACAAGTCCACTTTCAACCCTTACTATTCTTGCTTCATCTAATGCATCAAGTTTTTGTTGTTGTTGTTGTTGTTTTTGTTTTGTTTTGTTTTGTTTTATCATTGAGGGTATCTATCTTTCCTTTCCTGGCTATATTGTCATGGCCAGAATGGTTTCAGAAATAGTCTGATGGAAATATCTATTTCAGAATTTAGGACTAACCATGGTGCAGTTTGTCTGCTGGACTCGTTTATATCATTCTCACCTAATAATCCTCTCAGCATTTTGCATGTTGGTAGCATTAAATTCTTTTTTGTGCAGCTGAAGCCTTTGGGGAAGGTATTAAATGATAGTTAATAGTAAATGGCACATAGAGGTTAAACCTAATGGTTTCTGCTGACTCTTTTGGTATTCTAAATAGGTTTTTATTTAAAAGGTATTAAATTATACTTTAATTTAAGTAACATTGAAGATACCTGTCCAGATAGTTCTTTGTCTTAATATCATATTTTAGTAATTTTTATATACTTAATTATTTCCTCTTTGTAGAAAAAAATTCAAGTTTCTCTTACAAAAATAAGTTCAAGTGGGCAAAAAGCAAAATTGCTGAACAACAGTAATAAAAGATAGTAGCAATTTCCATGCTAGGCAGCAAGATATAAAGCCTCTGTTACAGTCTTGTGCTCTTGTATTACAAAATTCCAACAAAAAGCAGATCTGAAGTCTTATATGCCAGCATATATATAATTATTCATAGTATATTAAACAGATGAATTGTATTTTGCAAAGCAAAGAAGTCCAAGAGTCTACAGAGAATAATACTTTCTCTGGTGTCCCCTAATGGGCTGAATTTCACAACATTTTGTGAAATTAATTTGGTGGAAAGCATGTGCATGCTTCCTTTAAACCCAGTTAGCTAGAACAAAATATACTAAATTTGATTCCAAAGTTAAACATTGTGGACTCTTTGAACCTACTCAGAAAGCCATACTCTAACCACGACTTATTATATATGCTTATAAAAAACATGTATTTTTCAGATACTTCAGGGAAAAAAAAGCCAATCTATTATGATAGTTTACTCATTCAAGTAATTAGAATTTTTTGATTAATTTATTTAAAATTTGGACTAGATTTGGACTAAATTTGACTTTTGCCAAACTGTATTATCTTCCAGAAAAGAACTGTTCCGATTGTTCCCTGGAACATATAAACATATTTATGCTCCCTTGAGGTAGGAATAATAATTTAAACTTGATAAATACGAGTAGAATTATTAATCAGAAAAAATGAAAAAACCTTCTATAGCTGAGGACTCTGCTATATACACAGACATTTGTCCTTTTGATGCTTTCACGGAATAACTCTTCTTTCCTGAAGCATATGTATTGCATGGTTCTTACTATGTTTATGTGACTGTGATCAAGTCTAAAATGGCCAAGGTGATAGGAATGTTCAGAAAAATGTACTGCAACAAGTCTGTGTTTTGCTCAAGTCGTGTGTTGTGGTTCCCATTCCCTGACAGGCGTGCAGGGGTGACAGTGCTGGAAGAGGCCCATCAGCTTTAGCTCCCTATATTGTGCAAAGGCATCTTTTAAAACACGAAGGAAGTAAAGGCTAGATAGTTAAACCTTCTCATGACGGGGGGGGCGGGAAAGCTTCTTTGTTGAGATGTGTGAAACAATGTTTAACACTTGTTTTCCAGCATGAAGATAGTGGTGAAATCTTTCAGTAAGTTGGCATTTGAGTTTTACTCAAGTGAAATCATTGACGTAGAGGTAGAAATATTTTTGGTTTTGATCAAGTATTTGATTTTTTTTTCAGTTTGACTACAGAGCATTTATCAGGACAGGGATTTGGTGAAGATCATCTTAAAGTGTAAAAAGTTTCAAGATGATATTTCATTTTGCTTTTCCTACACATGTGCTGATGTTATTCCTTATTTTGTGCTTCAGAAACAGACTTTGCTAGCTACTGAGAGCTGTAGTTTTAGTATATTAATTGTTTTTCCCACAGTAGAATTTTTTGACTCCCTTATGTTATTGAATTTTGGCACCTTTATGCATTGAATGATTGAAATGTATAAAAATGGATTTACTCTAAAGCATAGAAAAGATCATTTAACTTTCCAATCCCACTATTTTCTGGAAGTCACATAAGGCAAGAGTATGGTTTAGGGGAATGGGAGCTGTGTGTGTGGTTTTTTTGTGTGTATGTGCGTCTCTATGATTATATAATTTTTAATTATGTATATTTGCCAGGTTCCCTTTCCTAGGTAACTTTATTTCATTGCAGGTTTTCTAGAACGTGTAATGAAATAATAACAAACTTGGGCTGTAACAAACTTCCATTGAGGTTTTGAATCATTTGGCTGTTTTCCTTTTTTATTCATTGAAAAACATTATATTTAAAAAAGACAGCAGTTGATGAAGATCTTAAAAGTTGATACAGTTTGTTACAACATGATCATTACCAAATCACACAGGCAGAAATGCAAGGAATGGTGTTTTCTATACTTCGAACAACAATTTTGATAGATCGCCATTTTGAATGTGTTCACCTGTGTTTCAATTTTGCATACCAAGAAAAAATAATTCATGAGCCTTCTGAGGAAATTTATTGCAATGAGAACATAACTTGGCAAATGCATGCTGGCTTTGTGTTAGCTTTACTAAAGACAGTTAACACTGAATTATTTAACTTGAATTCCAGGGAGAAAGTAGTATCCTCAGATGACCTGCTGGCGTGGTTGAGACCTTTCTGTGGTGATGACTCTTTACCAGTGAAGCCTCGCATCAAAGTGCTCCAAGTCATGGAACAAGCGTTCCACCTCAGTGACGAGGACAGCAAGCTGCTCGTCTTCTTCAGAACACAGGCCGTCCTCAGAGCTTGCTGGCCCGAAAGAAAGGTATTGGCATCAACAACTGTGTATAATTACAGTTAGAACTGGAATTTCATAGAATCATAGAATCTTTAAAGGCTGGAAGGGACCTCTAGAGATCATCTAGTCCAACCCCCCTGCACATGCAGGGTCACCTAAAGCACGTGGCGCAGGGCTGCGTCCAAGTGAGTTTTGAAGATCTCCAGAGAAGAAGACTCCACAACCTGTCTGGGCAGCCTGTTCCAGTGCTCTGTCACCCTCACTGTTAAGAAATTTTTACTTCAGTTCCTGTGGAACTTTTGGTGCTTCAGTTTCTGGCCGTTTCCCCTAGTTCTGTCGGTGGCCACCA